AAAATATTATTTCCGCTACTTCTAATCAATGTGTCTTAAATGTTTCCACTAGTATTCGCAATAGTGCATTTGTGGTTTGTGTGTGAGTGTGTCTTTAATTTTTGCATAACAATATAAATAAATGAATGATTTTTCACGTTGAAAATCTTGAACCCTCCAAAAATTCCTGGAAGTCTTCCTTAACCGCCTGGTATTTTTCCTCTTTTTGAAGCAGAAATTATCCTGAATGTAAGGTTTTTCATATGTTTAACTTTAAAAATATACATATTCATTTTTTATTCCTATGATTTGTTCCTTTTTCCAGTTACTTGTTGTAGTGACAAATTCTATCTTTCATAAGCATTGAGGGAAGGGGTGGAACTTGTTTTTTAACAGAAACTTTATGGTTTGTATCTCATGGAATTCATATATTCCATTCAAATAGAGTGGATATATTTCAGCGTATTTCAGCGGAAAAATTCAACTTTCAAAATAATCATTTTGTGTTGCTTGAAACTGAACTCAGATAGAGTCAATACTGTTCTGTTTATTTCAGACGTTCATGTAAATTCTGTTCTGATTCGTTGAAGTCATTACAAAATAATGATAATCGCGTTTGTTCTATGCTTTTGTGAAGGAAGTTGAATTCTTGATTGATTTCTGAGTATTTCTATTGTGGTATAAAAGAGAAAATACAATTTAGAGCAATACATAATTTATTTGGACGTCTTTAGCCAGTCTTATCACTACCGTCCTTTTATCGTATTATACTGTAATTTTGATAACTTGTAAAATGTGGTTTTGACAAGGTTCAGTTTTTCTATTACGTTTCATAACTTTATTCTGTCATTTATAGATTACCGATCCGCTCATCACTGTGCCTAGGATTCCTTCTTTCTAGCTCAAGAAATTTTATCAGTAAATGTTGTCACATTCTTGTGTAAGAACGACATTAGTTGCTTCACTTCATTTCTATGGTTTCTCTCAGTTTAATGCGATTTTTAATGTAAATCTCTTTTATCATTCACCCAACCGTACTTTCTCGCCATGAAATACAAATTTGTGTTAAAAATTACGAAAAAAAGCTCGGAGCCATTACACCAGAGTGTTCAGTGTGCAACAAAGAATCAAAATTTTGTCAACCGATCATTAATATTTCATACGCATGCGAAGATAATATAAGGATTATTAGCCGGTCCTTTCTCACCAGTATTAATCAAAGAGTTCATTTTAATGGTACCAACAGTACTACCAGTTTGATGATTAAAACTGTATTTAAAATTTATTCCTCAAAAGTAATTTAATAGCTTGCACATCAGTAAGCATATCGCTCTTATCAATAGCAATTCCGCTTGTAGGCGAATGACATTATGAAATTGAGTTTGTTGCCAAAATGATGCATCACCTGAATGACTTCGGGATTACAATAAACAGACCACATGCACCAATTAGTACTTACTACTGCTATTAGCTTTTAAGTTACATCTCTACCAAATCATTGCTATTTAAGCTTATCAACTATTAAAAAATGTTGGATCACTAGTTACACCTAAATAATTCAATTTAAATCCGAACAATTTATCCTCTCTTTGAATGTGATTGAGTCTTCGTCAGTTATATAAACAGACGACTTTTCCCTCACTGATGAGAAACACTATAGAGCGGTTGGAAGCGATCAACAGAAATGACTAACTGTATGATCTCTGCTAATTGAACTGAGAGGAGTGAAAGAGGTAAACAACGACAAACTGCAAACAACAGAAGGGCGTTTTGAGAAATCGTGATAAACAGTACAAAGTAAAGAAGAAAGATAGAGAAGTATCGCTGGAAACAATGAAGACGTAAGATTCCATAGTGATAGGCATGACAGTAGACCAGTAGATCCTATTTCTAATTAAGATAGATTAAAGAGAAGAGCTGTTCATCATGTGACTCTCTATGTAGTGGATGGCTAGTTTTACATTCCAGTTTGATCTACCTGTGTTATCTCACATAATTGTCATATTAACTCAATTTTTTATATGAAACTGAACATTTCGTTTGATTGCAGTTAGACTAGATCTAGTTATCAGTTTCCTTAGTACATTAAAAAAATAATAGAAGAATGATTTTGTCAGCTGTTAATTGAAAGTTCCACTGCAATACTTCGATAAACTAATCTGTATCCTTGACAGGTGCAACAAAATCGATGAAGAATATGAACCATAACAACTCCTGAGTGGTCCATCGGAACGTTGTTCCACCTCATTCCTTCCATCTCATCATCACTCACCTGGTTTTCTCAATCCATTATTTATTTGTTTACTCATTCCTATAACTTATTTTCTTGCTTCCTGTAATATGTGAAAAATATGTCGGAAATTGCATTTTAAAATATTTGCTACCATTAATCTTGCCGTTACAGGCATGAATGGTTTAAAGGTGAAAACAGAGGGAAGAATTTCTCAACCTTTCTTTCTTTCTAGAGAAAGAGGAGAGAGAGAGAGAGAGAGAGAGGAAGAATAAATGAATGAAAGCCTATGTTTCAGTGACTATTGGCAATGTTTAGAAACTAAGCATAGAAAAAGTAAGCATGTTGGATCTGTAGAATTGATGCAACTTGCAACGTATTTCACTTCTTGATTTTAACTTTTTCAGTTCATGCTCCACGAAATGATTTACATCGCTTATTGTTGCAGCTAACTAACTGAGAAAAACATAAACTTTTTGAGAACATAAACACTTCATTTTCGAAAAAATTCCCAGAGAGATGATAGAAAGTGAAGTTATTTTACTTTTTTGTTTGAATGATTTCGCGAAATAGTTTCCTCAGTTTCATTTATTTTTGGCTTATTTAACAAGCTGACATCATATCAGGCTGTCATTCTGGTTTTTTTGCAGATAACGCTGTTATCCGGGCTCATTTGCAAACCACGCTGTTATTATTCGGATGTGCAATAGGCTCCCTTTTTCTTCTTCTCAGAACCTTTGGTCTTATGCGTTATATTCCTTGTATAGCTTTAATCGAAATATTAAAATATTACACAATCGAAGTTTTTCCACTAATATTCCTTGTGTTCTCAGGTTCTGTTTATCTCTTGGAGACTGCTAGAAAGAATTCCATGAAAAGAGAAGTGAAAATTTTCTGAATAGAAAAACTGAAACTTTACATAATCTTTCAGATTGAGCATTCTTATCGATGCAAAAGCAGGAAGAAACTGATTATGTTACACAGCCTGAATTAAATAGTTGAAAGTATATAACACTCATTTATCAGCGTATGCCTTACATAATAGTAACTAATCTGTTTTAAGGTTATATTTTGAGGGGTTTTCAATATTGTAATCAGAACTGATCAACATTCCTGGAAAATTATCCAGTTTTTCTCATGAGAACTAATGTTTTTTCTTTCAATTGAATTTCATATCTTCCATTTTATGCTTTATTGCCATTACTTACCAGTTTTAATCAATAGTAATTATTATTATTATTGTATGTGAATTTATTCTTCCTTGGTCACTTTGCAAGGTATTTTTTATTGAGATCAATAAGTAGTCAGTATCGGATGGATAACTTCTCCATTGGATAAATTTCTTTACATAGATCTTTTTCTAGAACGCATTGTTTATTGGTTATCATGCTCATATTTGACTTAACTTCTTACCAATACAGGTAGATTACCATTTATTGCTATTATTTGTTATTATTAATCATTATTTACATTAGTTTATTATTTTTGATTTGTTTTGCATTATACATATATTCATATCAATTTAAATTTGTAGAATTTAATCAAGCTGATGGGCTGAATTAAATAATTTGGATCAAATTAGATCAAATTCGGCTGAATTTAGTGAAATAGATCCAAGCAGATTGATTCGAAGTCCATACAAATTGATTTGAAAGAGATCTAAATAGATGATAGATTAATTCGACTTTTTCAACTGTAGAAAGTACTTTTTTTGAGGCTGCATGGATGCAAGAGCAGCTATTAATAAGAAAACAAATGGATTGCTTCGATCTGCGTTACGTTTTTCTGAAAAAACAAATCTCACTGATGCAATGTTAAACAACTGTTGATTCCTTGATTCATTTCATTCATTTTTTTCCTTTCCTGAAAGACTTTTAATTTCGATTTCGAACCAAAATCATCATACAATCAATTAATATGTTTTAAATTTATAATCATTTATTCATACTGTATCATCAGCTACGAAAAGGATTACAAGATAGTGATAACAAGAATGATAATGCCATTGACATTACAGTGATTTGAAGGCCTTTACATATTCTAATATGAAATATCCATAAAAACTTTCCTTCCTCATGTCTTCTTTCATCTTCTATTCATTACAAATAATGGAGATAGGCTAACCAATTCCAGCAATTCTATAACAAAATTATAATAGTGAAATTAATTTCTGCAACTTTTTATTCAGATCTGTTCACCCCTTTTTTAACTTTTTTTTGAAGTTCTTTTTTTTTTTTTTTTTTGAGAGTGATTTCTTCTGAGAGGTAGTAACTTTCATAATTCCTGAAAGCTATCGGTTTTATATAAATTAAATTTGCGAAAATTCAGTTCGTTAGAGAATGGATGCTGGAAGAGTTATTGCTTCTGTAAGTACTTGCAGCCTTTCTGTTTCCAGTCGACATAGGTATTCTCCAGTAGTTGAAAGTGAATTGGGAGTAAAAGATATCATAGCATGCGATAAAGTTTAAAGTCTGCTATCAAAAAACTTTAATTTGTCGTAAAAACTCAAAACAATAAAAGCGGCTATAGATGATAAAAATTTGCTGTAAACAAAGCAAGTGTATAATTGAAAATTATAAAATTAACAAAAGCAAATATCTATGGGGTTTATTATCAAAGTGATACTTTATTTCTTCTTAATCACTGAAAGTGTTGAATTTAGGTTCTACATCCGAAAGTTGGAAGAAGTTACGACCGCAATTAAGTGAAAGTGGACTTGTACACTTTGAAAATTTTCATATATTCGTGCTTTACACAACTTCGTTTGACAAACGTTTTGATATAACACAGGATGACAAATTTGAGTTGTGGTGCGAGATGCCTTAAATTTTGCCTTTTCGTCTTTAATTTGATTTTTTTGGTAATTTTTTAATATTTTGAGTATTTGGTTGCAAGTATTTGATTATTTGGTTTTTAGTTTTCTTGGTAACCTTACTATATAAATCAATTTAGGTTATCAGTCATTTGCTTCATATTGATAAGAAGATATCTCACTTACCGAAAATATTTGCAGCTATGTGGTTTGGTGTGTGTTGGTATCGGTACATGGTTGGTGCTGGATCGATATGCAGTGGATAGCTTAGCAATTGCCAGTGAAAAAGTTCAAGTTACCGATGATGGATTGCGAGAATTGGTATATATTTATTCGATCATATAATGATTTAAATTCACTTTAACATTCTCTGAATATAAAATTTCAATAATTAAGATTTGCTAAATCATGATCCTGACTTCTTCACTTATTTCTTGAGATGTGAACTTTTCCGTACCCACCATACGACGCGTAGAACGAAAAAGGAAATAATAAAAAAGAAGAAAGATTGGATTAAGTGCTAAATTTATCTTAACGTTATTTTTCCTAAATATAAATTTTATGCTAATAAGAGTATTTGAAAGTTCTGATCTGATTTCTAATTGTTAGATAAGATTTGATTTTTTTTTTTTTTTTTTAAATTTGATAAAATTTGAGCAGCAATGCTAAACTCATACATTACTGTTCATATGATGGTTCAAATTCAGTTTAATAGTTCATCTTCGATATAGAATTTGGATATTTAAGATTACAGAAATTATAATTAAAGGCGTCGAAGCCAGCAGCAGTAAGACAAATTGGATTTCTATTGATTATTGGCGGTATAATTGTCATCGTTGTGTCGTTTATGGGGTGTTGTGGAGCAGCCAAGGAATGGCGTCTCCTTTTGTGCTGTGTAAGTTACCATTGTCTTGGTCAATTTGCATATTCACTAGTCAATATTATATTTTGAAGCGAATCAGTAAATAATAGTGTTGCTGTTTACTGCATGGAATCAGAGTAGGGATGATGCATCGATTCAAGAAGTTTATCGTAAAATCGATCATTCCATTGTATATCAATTCAAAACTTTAAAGAATACTGTATAATGAGAGAAACTTGAAACAAAGAGATTAGAATTTCTAAGGGAGACAAGTTCAACTGACTGAAGTACCTTCTGTCCCTGCTTGATCCAGCCAAAAAGACATAGTCAAGAAGTTCTGACTGTTGCTGTTTGAAGTCTCCGCTAGCTGTATTATGTAATTGACTGTTTAACCAGCTGGGATTGTTAACTCAGTTTGCTGCCAAAAATTCAATAAATTAATAATTTAAAAAACAAAAGAACAAAAAACAATACTACAGAGCAAAGAAGAGGAAATCAACAGAAAAAAAAGAGATAATTTTTATTTTTATGGCTGGAAGATATAAAATACAAAAGCCTAAGAACAGCTTTTTTTACAGTATGCAACATGTCTGATGGTTATACTGGCAACGCAGATAGCTGCCGCAATATATGCTGTTATGCACAGTCATATGGTAGGTGTTCCTCTTGTATTGTCGGGTGGAGTCTTTAATACAAAATTCTTTACTCCTTGCTCCCTTCCATGTAATCATCTCCTCTTAATCTATCCTAGTGTATCGTTTCATCTGTTTCATTAATGAGCTACAGTTCGCACAAGATTTTCGACAAATTTTGAAAGCGTCGCTAAAATTGTATAACGGAACCGATACTGCAAGCAGAATGTCCGATGATACAGTGCTCATGAAGGCTGCATGGGATAAAATCATGATCGAGGTAAGTTTGATAATGACAAAAGTGTGTTAATTGAATGTTATGTCATTTCATATTTACTGTCGGAGCTGTTAAATTCGCGTCCAGATAACAACAGTTCCAACTTTTTTGCTGATCTTCTAATGATAATGAAATCTCTTATTCATCATGTGTAAAGATGATTTACAGAAGTCTTGTTGTGGTGTAGATTCGAAAATTGGTGATTTCAACGAAAGTGGTTGGTATCAGTTAACCGGTAGAAGACACCATTTTCCGCCGGCTTGTTGTCCACCAAACAAGGATGGAAGTTTGATGGAATTTTGTCCTACAATAGCCAGATATGGCGATGTCAGTAGTCATTTTTTCTGTTCAGTTTTATTTAAAATTACTTAAAATTTTGCTTTGTGAAATCGGACTTTCGATCTTTTACTTGCATTCAATTATGTAATATAATATTCAACACAGAAACTTACTAGTGAAGAGAGAGAGAGAAAGAGAGTTGGACGATTTCTGAAGAAATATGAAAATTAGCATCTATCACTTGCATTCAATTTTTCTGCAAAAATTCACTCTATTTTTTATACTGAATGATTGCAGCGATGATTTCCTTCTATTTGCATCGTTGTTTCATTGTAGGGTTGCTATGATAAAATCAAAGATTCTGTGCAAGCCTTATCGACTCACTTCAAGATCGTTGCGTGGACTGTAATCAGTATTGCATTAATACAGGTAAACTTAACATTCAATAACACCATTTGACTTAATTAGAAATGATTGTTATAGAAGATATTACTGACATCTATTCCCAACTTTATTTTTCTTTTTATAAATATTTTTAATAAACTTTTGCATGGGGAGAAATATGTCCTGAAATATGTTATAAACTGATCAGATTATGAAAATGAATATTTTTTAATAATTGGAGCTCACTGAGCATCACAAAGCAATGAATGGTAGCAAAAGTTTTTTTCTAGATATTCGGCATAACAGTGGCATTTTGCTTATGCAACGCTATTGGTGAAGATGAGTACTATTGATATGTATTATAGATAGTTTGATATCTGTTGCTTTTGCTTTGAAATTTAATAGCTTTTGAATGTTGTATTTTTCCATGCCTTGAAAATTATACTTCAACTGCTCAATTTTATAACGACAGATAGTTTTAATTTCCTTCCATTAAAATAATGTGCTTCAAATTTTTAGTCTTTAGCGTGTATTTCTGACACTGATTTTTTAGATAAACTTTGGAATTGGATTTTCTTACATTTTGGAACCACTGCAATGTGAAATCATATTTTTGATGCTTTTATTTACGCTTCTTTATTAAAATTATCATCAGGAAGTGGATCACAAGTGTAAGAAAATCCAATTCAAAATGTTTTATAATGTCATTTGGTTTCAAAATGAAGAAAACTATATGACAGTGTTTCAGTTGCTTTCACCGTTGATTAGACTTTTTTCAAATTTCGGATGGAGTGTCTACGTTCAAAATATTATTTTAAAATGCTGTAAGGATGATGCACAGGTAGTGTTGTTGAACCAACGAAATTAGAACGTTCGGTAATTTATAGCCATTTTATAGGATATGTTTTATGTTTCATTTTATTAGAGATACCTTGAAAATTTAATGGAAATAAATCTGCTACTCTTGATTTAGAATACTTCCATTCGCAAATGCTGAGGTTCGTTAAGAAGTTCCTCTAAAACCTACTGCAACAATCAACCATTACATTCTACAATAAATTTTACATTTACATATTTAATTTGGCTTAAACACACTGGTCAGCTTATCTTTCATTTTATTTCAATGCTTTGTTTGCTAATTGTTTATTACATAGTATAATAATCACAATATTGGGAATGTAGTGGGAGCATTACATACTTGTACTGTTGTAAAGGAAATTCCATTGATTTGATGAGAGCGAAATACAGTTTAAATCATTTCCATTGTTGTCATATTTGTTTTACTTAATTTAATCTGCCATTTTTCATGTATTTTGATACTTTTTGAAAATAATATAAACAACATTTTGCGAATGCAACTCAGGACACGTTCGTTTTCTTTATTCTTCTAGATCTACTTTCTCAAGGCTGCTCAATAACTTCAATTAATAATAATCGTTATTTCAATAGAATAAAGATTTGTTTTAAACAACATCTCTTCTGCAAAGTACTCCCTATTCGGCTCTACAAACTATTCGAACTAGACCCTATTTTAGAATCAAAATTATTTGCTGTCCGAGGTGAGATATGTTTAAATTTTTAATAAAAAAAATAGAAGTACCAAAATTAAAGACCGAATGAAATAAATGAATTAATCTAACTTCATCAAATCAAATATCTCTACGAGAACCGAAAGGCAATAAAAAATCAAATTGTGGATCATCAAAGAAATGATCACACGCCTTAATTGTGCTGCACACTTAAAGCAATTGTTCAAACAAGGTCAGATCTGGTGTAGACAATGAAGAAAGCTGAAAAAAGGAAATGCACAAAAATGGATGACGGTATTTAATAGTTAATGCAAGAAAAGCTATCATTATTTTGGAAATATAAAATAAGGATTATGAAGTAGTACTTCAGCCATTAAGTAAGGAGGATAGCATATTGAGGTAACCTCAGGAAGAGTGGTCTCTACCAGTAACAAAAAATCTTTCGAAATTGCTACTAGTTAACATTTAGTGGCGATCCAACAATGTGGAGACAATTTTGAAGCAGCTTCAATACAGCAATTCATGATTAAAACATCCACAATAAACTATCTGTTCATAATTCATAAATAAACTATCTGATGTCTTATCTTAAAGGGATGCATTGCTAGCTGCAAGAAATTATGATATTGCACTAGAAAACTACGAAGTTATGAAAGATTTACTAGAGAAGAAGTATGATAAATCTTTCATTATAAAGAGAAGTAGTCACTTTGTAATGAATTGTATTCTATCACAAGAAATCGTGGCTGGAAAACAATGATTGAAGCAATCTGAAAAATATTTCGACAACTGGAAGCTATCGATGAGAACTTAGAGCATTGAAATATTGAAATTGCAATTGAAAATAAACTGCTGGCTTACATATTTAACAAAATGTGCAATTAAAGTGGAATCAACGAAATGGTCGGTTTATAGGATCCGATGATTGAAAGAACTAGTACTAAGGAATGTCAAAGCAAGAAGTCAAGCAATTATCAGGAAGAAGAAACCAACTAAATATTAATAGTAGGGGCGAAACTTCAACCTTAGCTGCAATTAAATCATTCAAATGAAACAACTCAATCAGCTCAAGTAATCAACTAGAAATAAAGGTAACTCCTGTGAAGCAGAAGTTACAAGGACCACTGAAAAAGGAAGCTGTCACTTTAAGTTCCGTATGGAACGTTTGAGGAGCATCATCGTAAGTTTCTAGTATCTTTGAACAGGACATGCAACAAATGATTGCAAAAGAGGGAAACTTCTTGTTTCCACTGTGAAAATTTTCATAATACGGCACTGTATCCTCTCAAATATAAAGACTTTACGCGGATTTGACTACATTCACAAATTCAATTGTAGAAAATGAAAACCAGAAAAAGTAAACGAAATTTATTTTTATGTAAAGAAATAAATGTAGTTGATCCACACCACTTAGAAATGCTCTAGCGATATTTGATGTTGGCTTACACTCATCTTTTGTATCTAAGGAATTAGTGAGTCGACTGAAATTAGAAGGAACCAAAGACGAAAATTTGAAACTTTTCATTTGGTAATAAAGCTCCGCAATCATGTTGAACTACAAAAGTGGAACGGAGTTTTTTTTTTTTTTTGGAATCAGAAATTTCAACTATCAATGCTTACGTATTTAGATTACCTAACAGAAGAACTAAAATTAAGTCGAGCTACCACGGTTGTTACGTATGACCTCAAGAACAACTAGACGAAGAAATAGCATATTGGAAAAGACAGAATATATTTACTGGTGCTATTACTTTGATTATTTCATGCCAAATCAATCCACAATATTGTATCGGGGTTCTACGTAATCTCACAAAGATCAGTCCTATAATAACTAGAAATACATACATCAATAAATCTCCTAATTATGCAAATATTGCATTTGTTAATACTAAATCAATGAATGTAAATAGTGTTATCATGATTCTAGAAATAGGTCAATTCTGGAAACTAGAAGTATTCAGGAATAACCTAATGCTTATGATGACGAGCAAGCGAGGAAGTATTTCAAAGGAGAACTTTTACTGAACAAAATGTACGATATCAAATTGGCCTTGAAAGATTTATCAGTTTTCAAAAAAAAAAAAAAAAAAACTTAATCGATACAGTGAAATAGTTTAAGAACAAATGTAATCTAATATCACTGAAGAAGTGAAGTTGGGCATGAATTAGGTTACTATTTGCTCCCATCATGAGGTATTAACACAAATAAATCGACAACATAAGAGCTTTTGCTTACTTCAAAGGTATGAAAAGTTTAAATGGCATTTTATACCGTGTCTGATTACATTTCCGATTTAGCAGGTGTATTGCTTCGATTAAGAATAATAGAAAAAATATTTTTTCAACTGGAATTATTTCTATCAGAGCGAAACTGCACTAAGCTCCTTTGATTGCAAGATATCCAAGGACAAATCAAAAATAACATAGTATGTTATTGTTTCCGAAAAGTTCCATTCGGGTGATATCATTTACTTTTTTACTATTAGCTAGATTCAACTGTCGCCTAGAAGGTTATGGAAATGAAATTACCCTGAAGATCCGAAAAAAATCTTTAGGTTGACAATATTATACTATGAACTAAAGAAATGCGAAAAGCACTCATAAATTATGAACTGAAATCTACGAAGAATTCTCAATGAACATAAGGGGAAAGCAAGCAACCAAGCAGAAGCCAATTTAAAGAAATTGTTAGTTGGAATCACAAAGAAAATCATGGCTGGAAAAGAACAACTGACCACAATGGGAATCTATAAGTTTATAAAAAGTTTTAAACTAATAGACGCGAATTGTTTTAATAAGTGGTCAAGATCAATAAGGACAACTGTGTGGATTCTTAAGCTCATAAAATTAACAACAAAGAGATAAATACCACAATGTTTATCAACGGTAAAGAATCGACTTACCATGACAACCTGTTAATAGTAAAGCCTGAGTTTGGCTATCAGGTTGGAAGATCATGATAATGAAATTGGGAGTAATTTTCAACACATATGCAAGGCATGTTAACAAACTGTAAAATTTCAGAGAGTGCAGATAAGTACCGGGATTTTCTAAGTGAAACATTTATCTGAGGATTATTCATATACGACGATCTTTTGTCTTATGGATTTAATACAAATCTATTTTGACATATTTTTAGTTCACTGTGAGATGAAAACCTTCAGGAGGAATAATTGGGTATCTTTATTTGAATACATCGTTTTATACCATTTCTAGCTCATAGAGTGACAAGTTTTTTTTTTGGTTTGTTGACTTCCTTAACTGAGAATTCCATTGACTGAATTGTTGAATTCCGTTCATCGTGGACTTTCAGAGGGTACGGCACATTCAATGGTCCATTGAGAAGTCTTCCGTGCGGTAATTCTATTTCGGTTCCTTTTGTTAAACTTTCAGACATATTTCATTTCGGGCATCAAATAATTCTTGTCCTAAGATAGGTTTGATTCAAGTAATTTGTACAGCCGTATAATTGTTGCTTTACAGAGAAGGCGACGCCTGATCAATGTTTATTTTATTGAGATAAAGATTATCGTTGATCATAGCTATTGAGCAATATTAGAAAGCTTGAGAAAGTAGCTGCAGGAAGGCAATGAATGCCAGCAGATTGCTATCCCGAAAACCTGACCTCAATAAAGGAAAGGTAAGCATCAGCTCATAACAAGGTGATTTACCCGCAAAGGAGGTCAGCTAAACAAAGAACTGTTAACCTTGTCAAATTCAAATATAATTTACTGTTAGTAAAGAACCGATAAACAACAAAAGGGATCAATTAAATAAGAGCTGATAATAGTAGACAATCTAATTAGTAACAAATTCCAACAGTAGTTAACAAACAATTAAATAAGTCCAGTTACATGAAAGGTGAACATCAGATAAATAATTCCTTACGTGGCATTGGAATATTTGAATAAAGAATATTCAAACAAGAAAATCTTTTTCTATGGATTTAATACAATTTCATTTCTACATATTACAATTCGGTTTTTCCCACAAGAAGTTTTTAGTGGCTCATGGCCAGAGGTAGCTTGCATTACTTATTTTTGGCCTTCTTTTCGAAAGAACTAAGTACGAAGAAACGTGGCGAGCAGTTAAATGGAGGGGAGTGCAGTGTCTTCATTTGCCTTTGTTTGCAACCACCATAGTAGAGAATTCGCAGTATTAGCTTCCTGAGTTGTCATTTTAACAAAAATGAGCAAATACAAAGTACCTGAGTTCATAGTTTGAGCTCAATAGTTTGACCTCAAACAAAAGAATTTGAGACATTTGCGAACTTCGATAGACAATTGCATTCATAACCTCATGTGATAGTTTACGGGACACAATATTATTAAATATTAGAAATAATTTCCATACATTCAATGAAAAGATTTTTTATTGGAAAGTCAAAAGAAAAATTCCCTGTTCATCTATTTTGTACCTAACATTATTGAGATTGCCTTTCCAGAATAGTTCGACAAGTAATAAGATTGTTATTGTATTGTTCGAGTTCCAATAACAAGAAAAAGATCGGATCGATCAAAAATGTGCAACTTCTTGTTTTTCACTTCTATAGTGAGATAAAACCGAGGGTAAAAGTTAGTCGAAAAACTTGAAAATTGGACATAATTTATAATCGAGAATTTTAATTTTTTAATGGATTCAAATACTCTAGAAATATTCCTTCTGCTTTTCTATTCCGTGTTGAACAAGATACCAAGCTAATATTGTTCTCAATAAGAATGTTTTCTGTGGGTTACCACTTAGTATGCAGAAAGAGGTGGTGCAAATATTTTATGATAAGGGATAGTAACAGTGGTCGAACAGTCGCGAAACTGGAAACAGTCTCGCGAATCTCCAAACAACTTACAAAATATGTTAAATAAAATTGTATTAATTCATAATATTAAAATTTGTCTTAGTTAAAGAAATACAAAACTCTTTCAAATTGCATCTCATGTAACATTCATTATTCCAGCACTCATCACCCTATTCAGCTAAGCTTATCTGATTGTCTAGAATTTTTCAGCTGTTAATTTCAGCCACTGACTCAGTTCGTGACTCCTCTGGATCTACCGGTAGCTCTTTATTCATGCATAATCATGCGCTTGCCCTAAGTCAATGCGCACAAAAAGAGTTTTTTAAACTCTTTTTATGACTCAGTTTTTATACCAGCAAATTATAGTTTGGCTGCTCTCTCACTCTCTCCCTCTTCTGTCTCTATCTTTCATTTAATTCAGTTCATTTCAATCCTTTAAGTTCTTAATCAATTTATTCATATTCTTCGTCCTATATTCGCAGTCAAATATGCGAATTTATAAGCATATTCGCGGTAAAAATTTGTATCATGGTTGCTAGCGAATAAAATCGTTACAACAGACCTTCCACTCAGTACATTCGTCTACACCAACTGCAATACAAACAAAGAAGGCTCTTGTGCATACGAAAGTCCATTTCGACTCTAGGCTACAATAGTTCTAGATTTCACGACACGAGCATCTGGCACACTCGTCGCAAAAAATTGAAAAAGATACTAAACTACATTTCTTTCAAGCTGCTCGAGTCTCAGAAGTTGCTTCATACCGACCTCATTCATATTTGTTTATATTTCAGCACTTCGTCTTTTCTTCTTTTCTGTCAGTTTCTGCTAGCCAGTCTTTCCATAACATATTATTTGCAACGTACTGAAATTGTGATTCTTTGCCTGGCGATTGCTCATAGTTTTCTCTACCTTCTCAAAAGCATTTTAATCACAGAAAGAAAAGACGAGTCAGTAATTTATTCAACAAAAACGATTGAGTTTTGTCTTGTTATGTAAATAGGAAACTGAAGTTGGAATTGGATGAAATTCAAACAAAAATGTTAGCAATGGAATGAGTGGATGGTATGTAGAATATATGAAGAAAAGTCATCTAACAAATGCAAAAAATGGATCATTTGGGATTTAGATATGTTTTAAATTCTTTATTCCAAATATTATGTCAACAATTGCTGGACCTTTCATTACATTCGATGGTAAATTTCCTCTACACATCCGCAAAACAGCAAAGGCTGAGCCTCATTAGTTCAGTGGCAGAGCGTCTGTCTCGTAAACAGAAGGTCGCTGGTTCGATTCCAGCATGAGGCAATGCACTACTGTTTGCAAAAATAAACCATAGGAGTATGATGACAGATCGGCGATGTAGCTACGTGACAACTAATGTCTGCTAATGGCCATCAACAACAGGTTGTTTGGAATTACGTGGACAATATTTCACTCACATCAAATCAATGGGATTTCTTTTACAACAGTACAAGTATATACAAGCATTTCACTCTCCCACTACATTCCCAATATTGCGATTATCTGTGCATCATCCTTACAGCATTTTAAAATAATATTTTGAACGTAGACACTCCATCCGAAATTTGAAAAAAGTCTAATCAACGGTGAAAGCAACTGAAACATTTTATATAAGACAACGTCTTTTTTCGCTGACTTTTCGTTAAATAAAAGGAACCATTTTGATAGTAAAGTCAGCCATGAACTCAAGGTGTATGGATTTACTGATCCAATTCATGATTTCTCTGGATCTGTTGATTCGATATGTGATTTATAAAAGATAAATTTTGATCAGTTTCAACAGCACATTAAATAATAGTTGTTAGTGATTTATCATACCAGTTCGTTTTTCCAATCAAATTACATTCCAAAACTACATGGTGGGGATAACTGAGAGTACTGAAAGAATTTCAATAAGTATTAAATGTTTGGAAATGAATAAGAAATGAAATGCATCGTTATGTTGCAAGGATATGAAATGTTATTAATTAATAGAAATACGCTATAATCTAAAAGCACTAATTTTCGGAGAAAAAAATGAGGCATAGTGACTCCCATCAGGCATAGTGACAAAAAATATTTGCCACTAAATTTAAAAATGCCAGCAGGCGGACAATATTCTAATCCTTCCTCACAAATCTCTTAGCACCTTTATTTTATATTCTTTATTCTCAGAAGTCCGATTTGGGACGTTTATGATGGATACAGATACTGCGGAATAAGGTGCCGAGCACTCTCTTCTTTCATCATTTCTTAAGAAACTGATTTCTGCTTCCACTTGGATAATCTTGTGATATAGCAAGTTCGAGCATTTCAATAAAACCAGATTTCTACGAAGGAGGAAAAAAGATATAATTTCTCAAATTAGTCGAAATTTCGACAACTATGAAACGTCCGGAGCAAAGCTCGATACGATATTACCCTGTAGAAATAATGTGTAAATGAAAATTTTCAATTCGAACTAGCCTAAGGAGAAGCTTCTGTTGATGTTTGGTTCCTTCAGGAGAAATCCTGTCCTTCAGCTGGTCAGTTTTTAATCAGAACTCCCACTATTCAACTGAAATCTCCCATACTGCTACATATTAGTCGCTCGCACCTATTTCTAGATAGTTTAATTTTTCCTTTCATCGTGTGTGGATTTCCACGACTTTGCATCTGAATAAAATAACCAGTCGTTTGTTTCTTGTTGGATTCGACAGTCTTTTACTGGCTCGCCCTTCACTAATCGAAAAGTTTCATGTTGCACACTCTGAAAAGAATAAAAATGTGATACTTCATTTCTTTACTCCTAAAATTTGTGATCTTTCTTCCCATTCACATCTATTCTTATACGGCATAATTTCGACTGGAATAAAAGATTCCATTAATAATTCATTACAGAGCTTTTCTTATTTCGTAAGATACAGAAAAATACTTAGCAATTTTAATAATGGTTATACGACAGAATGTTCGATGTTGCAAAGTACTTGTCCTGAATTGGACTGACTGTTCGCAGAAATACAGGGTCATTCAGGTTAAAAACGACTAACGGTGATAATATCAAACTTTCTGTCTTAAATGCTAGGAAGAAATATCAATAGATAAGTCTGCTCACAAACATATGAGCTCTTACGACAAATGCTTTATAACTACTTTTAATTGAAATGCACTGTCTTCGTCAAAAAAAAAAAAAAAAAAATCATTATCATATCACTTGAACAATATAAAAATTTTCGAAGTGTTTTCATTTGCAGGCTGGGGAAGTTTGTTTACATTTCCTACGTACCAAGAATTCGTTTGCCAAATTACAACTTATTTTTACAGGCACTCCATGCATACATCGAACGGTTTAGCATACGAGACAGATCTTTCGAAACAGTATGTTTGGGATATCTCTAAAGCTGATAATCCGATGTTTACATGTTCGTTTCAAACTTAGTTATTAGCTCTGAAGACTCTGCTGTGGTCTTAGCTTTGTCTTTTTGAAAAGTACAACCATAACGAGGGCAAAACCACATTTGTGTTTTTTTGTACTCGTTATTATTCTGTGTTATGAAGTTTTTAAGTGTATGATAGAAATATGACAAACTGTAAAAGGCAGCCTGGAATGAGAGTAACATGCCTTATTCCCTTTGCTCAACTGCCATTATTTGGCTTGCTTCTGACATGTGTGATAGTTGAAACCAGTATAAGACTTAAATTTTGATCCGTAGTTTTATGGAATGATATTACAGAGTACACTCAAGTTTTAAGCTGGTTGAAGTACATGGACGCCATGATTTCAAACTACTAATAATGCTATTTTCATACCATAACCTTGAAACAATTGTTGAGATGACTTTTAAAATCAATTAGATTTGCACTTCCCAACTTTTGAACTATTCTACCGTGGAATTTTGGAAAGTAAAGAAAAGTAATCATGAGTCCACGTTATGTCGTCCCTCGGACATCAAGTAACGGCTTTCCTAGCAGTTGAACATCAGTGTCACTAAAATGTGAAGCATCTTGGTACACAACCTGGTTTCGCTGATTCACAAAACAAACCTTAGTGTTCCTCATTATTTAAAGCTGAACAGAATCCACTTTCATTTGATGTGATATATCTTTGTGAGCTCAATCTGGGATGGCAAGTGCAAAGGAAGCTTCTCGACTGCGCTTTTGTCTCTCCCCACATCAGCACTTTCCGAAAAAACACCTACCGCCTGGCACCCAACTCATCAAGCCATTCCAAATTGATGGTAAACATCTACCTACTATCGATCGAGTAGGGCCACTGCAGAACTAATCGATCAGCTGATGCTCAGTTCCACCTCCACTCTCTCTCAATTTCTCATATCGTCCTCTCCTGCTTTCTTTTATTTTCACATAACGCATTCTCTATTTGTACGGCGTCTATCTCCTCATCTTCTCATTTTATTCTTTTGAACAAGACACATTTCGAAAGTCGACGAATCCGATACGTAGTGGGTGGTCTTCCAGAGGGGTCTACTCCTAGCTGTATATAAGCACGATGTGGGCAGTTCAGCGCTATTGCCGCTCGTGAATGTTGGATGCATTTGGGTGGTCCAGATGTTAGGGATGGGGAGGTGTGCTGTGCCGTGACCAAGATGGGACGGATGTGTGGAGTGTTGGGTATGTTGAGCAGAGGAAGGACAGATGGGTCGAGGATTCGCTCGGTGGAGGTTGCTGCTGTGAGTCGACCAAGGTGAGTGTTTTACGACTTGAACTAAGATAGTGAGGTGCGATGATGGCCACAGGTAGATTAAATGGTATATTCTTAGTATGCCTATCATTTTTGTTCTGGGAAATGGTTTTGTTTTTCAGGTACGTTAAGGAGTGAATGGTAGGACGTCAGTTAGCGCGTACATAGTTCACAGAAATTGCAGAAACACTGGGATCGGTGTTAAGGGCTCTAAGGTTCACAATTTTGAAATTCGTTATAGCAGTGAAACCATATTTCATCCCGTAATTCGTGATAATGGAGGCTAGTAAAATTCTGGGCTTGATTCGTTCGGGTTGTTATAAAAGTTACGTAGGAAAGCTGGATATTACGCATATCCCAACTGACAGTGTTCACCAATGAATTGGAGATTTTCAGGATTGAAGAGATTGAGTAATCCTCAGATAGGGTTGAAGACGATCCCTGAGTTATTACGTAGCGTCACCGTGGAGCAGTGAGACACAGGAACACCCGAGAGATCTGTTACGTTACGAAGTTTGGGTTCAGACCGAATAGAACAGCAGGGGTATCCCGTTTTGAAAAGCTTCCGAAGAAAACTGACCTAATTTCAAAGAATTTCAAAGCTTGGAAAAATGCTGCATTTGTTTAGAGGGGAAAGTTTGTAGAATTCAAGATAACTTCAATAGTGAGTGTAGTAATTAGTCATACCCAGTCCAATATGTTTTTCGTTGTTATGGCCGTTTTTGGTTTAAAAATTTATTGGTAATTGGATTACTAGTTCTGTAAATGTGGATTTATGGTGAATTTGAGGATTAAATCAGAAGCAGCATTTGTAATTTGTATATGGTCGTTCATTAGAGGCATTTATTATGCACATAGTTTGTGTATAGAAAGTAATGTTGTTAGACATTGTAAGTAATAGAAGTAATTGATGAATTGGCAATTGTTTCTTAAACCCCTTCCATAACATATAGTAGTACAATAAAGTGGTAGTTATGCTTTTAAGTAGTAAATATATTGTTCTTGAACAAAAATAGTGAACGAAGAAAAGGATCTCATGTGAACATGAAGTGATGGTAGTCACAAAAGGATAGAAAAAAATGCGTAATCTTGGAAGTGGATGTGATAATGAATATTGGTGGAATATATTTTGGATGGGATACGACGAAGTGCTGACTTTATTAAGAAATAGTGAAATGAAATCGTTTCGATGAGGGTCTCAAACTTTGTTATCTGTAAGATCTTAAGGTGCATCTGTAATTTCAATGTTAGAGGCCTAAAAAAAATAATCAGGCGGGTGCTTGTGAACAGTGCATGTCCTTTCCTGACTGCAGAAGTATTTGCATTCTATATGGCTAGACATTCATGAATTATTCATTTAGTAGACAAATGTGTTGCAAAATTTATGAAATTTTGGAAGCCCTGTCTGATGTTAAATTAATGTGGATCAAATTGTACGTTAATATCGTTTATACCGAGTGGACAGGCAGTAATTGTTTTGAGACGAAAAAGTAGTTCGTATTGTGTGAGCCGAAGATGTGTGTCTATCTGCTGCTTGTTCTGACCAAATTATAGGTTTTTCTGACCAAAAAATTGTAGGAGAAATAAATTTCGTAGGTAAATGTGTAAACAGTCAGGTGGACTCCATTTATAGGAATGATTTAGTTGACGCGGATTATTTGAACACCGCATGGTTCTGATTGCGGATATAAATTGCTTAAGAGTAGGGTGAGGGTTATTAACTACCCGGGTCCTGATTTGAAGTAGTTGAATTTTGCATTTAGGACTTCTGACGGTCAGGCAGGGTGTCTCTTCAATCCGCTTGGTCCTGATGTTGTTGTGGCAGTAAAGCTCAAGCTGTGAGAATTTGGTAGGAACGGGAATGTACTCGAGATCTGAAGTCCCGCTGAAGAAATCACATTCAACTCATTTGTGTAATGATTTGTAAACACTTTACATTAACATTTTTTCTTCGTTTTTTTAACATGATTTTGAGTAGATCAAGTGTGCTACAGTCACATCTACGTTAACAGGGACACCCTGTGAAATTGTGGTTGTATTTTTGGTTTTTGTTCGAGGGGTTGCTTTATACAAAAAGTTTTTTGTAATAAATTTGGTATTGTAGTTTCGAATTTTTGCAGTTTGAAATTAAAATTCCGATGCAGACAAAGAAAAAATTTGCTGGCAAAATGAGTGGTAGCCAGAATAGTTTTTGCTGAAGTATGTTTTAGTGAACAGAGGAAGACATATTTATTGCAGTATCCTTGTTGGCTGGTTTGATAGGATCTTTCAATTTCGATTTTGTGTCGATAACTTTGGATTTGAGCAGTTCCCAAACGTTTGGACATCGTAATTAATAGTGCTGTTTGGAGATTATTAGGTATATTTGCAGCTGGTCAACTGTTATAGAGGCTTCTGTGCAACTGCTGGGGAATTTTAGATTGGTGGTGGACTGTTTTTCTTATAGTTTACATTACTAGGTCCTAGTTCATCTAGTATTATAATAGATGAAGAAATAACTAGTTGGTAGTGCTGTGACATATACGCGATTTACAAGGGTCCACATATAAAAATTATGCGAATTGAAAGAACTTCCACTGGTTAAGGAACTATATTAGTGTTTTGATACGTTTGAATTCATTGTACAGCGGTGTGGTATTGCTTTCAAGAACGTCGTCATGAAATGAATAGTTCGAAATAGGTGTGAGATATTTTAGGACTTGATTTTCGTAAGTTCTAGCAGGTAACTTTTTATTTTTAAGTTTTGATGTAGTTAGTATCGTACTTCATAAAACGCTCTAGGACGTTACAGTGTGTTTTGTGATGCATTTGTTAGGTAGTTGTAAGTTTACAAATTTCAGTAGAAATATTTTCAAGAATTTATTTTTAGGTAGTCGATGGATAAGTGCTTTGTTTTGATGACATTCCAGGATGTACATATCATTTAGGTAGTAGATCTAGGTACCGCACCGTTATTTCGAGGACTAGGAGTGGTAGCCGAGACCGTTTTAATCTCTTTCAAAGTAACGCTAAAAATTACTGTTGCCTTCTCTCTCTTTATTCTTTACTTTCTCCAAAAAAATCACGAGTGTTCGCTGTTGATAGACTTTAATAAATTTAGTTTGGTGGGTTTCTGTCATTCAATCAGCATCGCAGTGAACAAAATGTTAGCTTGACTTATTTCTTCTTTCTTTTCCTGTGGCTTCGTTCTGATGACCAGCATTTTAGTATGTCGTTGTTCCATTTCAGATAAACGACTCCAGTTGGTGTCTTGAAAGGTTGTCGTTGGTTTGTGAAATATATTTAGGAAAACTTACCTTAATTATTGTAATCCGCACATAGCATTGAAGGTAGTAGGCGTCAGATACGCTATTATTTATAAGACAGCAGTGAAATTATCGTAAGTTTACTTTTATAGAACGTATTATATATTTAGTGGGAAATTCAGTCTGTTTTGGAAGGGAGGGGAATTGTATATGGTTATGATCAGTGGAGTCGAAAATAATGTTATTTATCACGTATTTATAATAATTGGGTGTGTCTACGATAAGACCATATGAGCTAAGAATTGGAAGTGTTTACAATAGGATTATATATTTAAAGGGTTAAACATGCATATGACACGTATGTGAGGAATTGGAGGTGTTTACAGTAAGGTCATATAAGGAATTTAAAGGAAGAGATTGTGATGAAAACTAATTTCACAGTAAACATAAAAATCACAAGTAATAGGCCTTAAAGAGCTATATTTATGGAGAGATGATTTATGATTTCATAAGACTGTTTACAATTTAAAAATGATTTATTAGTTTTCCTTTATGTTAACCTTATTTTGGTTAGAGTTTTCGCGAAATTATAATTCGCTACAGTTGGAACACTGTAAATATAGTATGTTCATCTTAAATTAGTTTTTGTAGCTTCTGTTTCAAAAACAGTCGGACATGATGGGAGGTCGTGTTTGTCAACGAAAAGTAAGACAGCCGGTCGAAATGTGATAAATTGTGCAGGCATTTAGGTAGTTCAGTAATTCATTCAATAATTAGTTTTTCTGTATGCATTAGTTAGATAATTTGTAGTTGTTTGTAGGCTAGTGTAAGTCAACTCTAGGACTGCTGGAGTCATGGAAGCACTAATCTTCCATGACAGCTGCTCTCTAATTGGCGTGTGGCGTGCGTCAATTTAAAATAGGTAGGCTGTAAGATTTTTTTGGACGGGTTCCCACTTAAGTGTACTTGACATAGATTTTAAAATGTTGTTTAGGGTGAGTCGTTGTGCCTAGGACGATTGAATGCCTGTACTTCTCGTCCTGTTTATTAGGGTCGGCCAGGTTGTACTTGCTTGACTGACATTCGTGCCACTTCCATCATATCCTTTTATTTTGGAAAAAGTGTCAAAAAATAAGTACAAGAAGCTGTTTTCGTTTTGCATTTGAATCTGGATGTTTGTGACTCTTTAGACAGAATTACGTTGATGTACCTAAGGAGGAGGCTAGTGAGCTAGAGTTAATGTAATTCAATCCTGGTCTAATGTGTAAGTGATGGGTAATGAAACGGATTAGATTCTTGAAATTTCCTGAAAAATATATTTGTGATGGAGTGAAACAGGATAGTAAATGGTAAATTTAATGGTTAATTGAATTGCGTCAAAAAATTGCATTTGTTGTCGTGTTTAGCATGGAGCAAGTTTTCCATTGATTTCCCACTCTGGGTCTTTTCTACCTGGAAGTTTCGGTATTTTCGGAGCAGTGCTACTGGCACTTGTTTCAGGTCAGGTTTCAACTGGAACTCCAGTAGGAGAGCTAATCATTGCTCTACATGTATCATATATAAGTGTTTACGCATTTATTTTGCTGTAAAAGTCATACCCATAAAATTAAAGAATGGACGCGACCTTGAGGCTCTTAGAGCTCGTTTTTACAAACAGTACGATAGATGCCATTTGAAAAGTTAAATCCTACACTCGTAATAAAGTTAATGATGATTTTATCTATCATCGCACTATCATTTTTCGAATGAACTATTTTAAGTGCGACGGTCACAATAAAGTGAAGTGGTGGTTTTATTTATTGCCACACCATCGTTTTTGACTAAGCTTTTTATTTTTATTTTGGGAAGTTAAATGCGACAATCGCAAATAAAGTTAAGTGATGGTTTTATCATCGCACCATCATTTTCGAATAACCTTATTTTTATTTTGAAAATACGACAATCGCTATAAATTCAGATGGTGGTTTTATTTTTTGTCGCACCATCATTTTCGAATAAGCTTTTTATTTTATTTTGGGAAGTTAAATGCGACAATCGCAAATAAAGTTAAGTGATGGTTTTATCGTCGCACCATCATTTTCGAATAACCTTATTTTTATTTTGAAAGTGCGACAATCGCTATAAAGTCAGATGGTGGTTTTATTTTTTGTCGCACCATCATTTTCGAATAAGCTTATTTTTATTTTGAAAATACGACAGTCGCTATAAAGTCAGATGGTGGTTTTATTTTTTGTCGCACCATCATTTTCGAATAAGCTTTTTATTTTATTTTGGGGAGTTAAATGCGACAATCGCAAATAAAGTTAAGTGATGGTTTTATCATCGCACCGTTATTTTCGAATAACCTTATTTTTATTTTGAAAATACGACAATCGCTATAAATTCAGATGGTGGTTTTATTTTTTGTCGCACCATCATTTTCGAATAAGCTTTTTATTTTATTTTGGGAAGTTAAATGCGACAATCGCAAATAAAGTTAAGTGATGGTTTTATCGTCGCACCATCATTTTCGAATAACCTTATTTTTATTTTGAAAGTGCGACAATCGCTATAAAGTCAGATGGTGGTTTTATTTTTTGTCGCACCATCATTTTCGAATAAGCTTATTTTTATTTTGAAAATACGACAGTCGCTATAAAGTCAGATGGTGGTTTTATTTTTTGTCGCACCATCATTTTCGAATAAGCTTTTTATTTTATTTTGGGGAGTTAAATGCGACAATCGCAAATAAAGTTAAGTGATGGTTTTATCATCGCACCGTTATTTTCGAATAACCTTATTTTTATTTTGAAAATACGACAATCGCTATAAATTCAGATGGTGGTTTTATTTTTTGTCGCACCATCATTTTCGAATAAGCTTTTTATTTTATTTTGGGAAGTTAAATGCGACAATCGCAAATAAAGTGATGGTTTTATCGTCGCACCATCATTTTCGAATAACCTTATTTTTATTTTGAAAATACGACAGTCGCTATAAAGTCAGATGGTGGTTTTATTTTTTGTCGCACCATCATTTTCGAATAAGCTTTTTATTTTATTTTGGGGAGTTAAGTGCGACAATCGCAAATAAAGTTAAGTGATGGTTTTATCATCGCATCGTTATTTTCGAATAACCTTATTTTTATTTTGAAAATACGACAGTCGCTATAAAGTCAGATGGTGGTTTTATTTTTTGTCGCACCATCATTTTCGAATAACCTTGTTTTTATTTTGAAAGTGCGACAGTCGCTATAAAGTCGAGTGGTGATTTTATCACCGCACTACTGTTTTTCAAATATCTTTTTTTGTGATGTCGAAACAATTTCCATGATAACTTAAAATACTTTTCAATCATAATACAGAATTTTCGATGATTTTTATAATACACATTTTGAAGCTTTTTGGAATCAATTTCACATTTTTCGATGATTTTGAATAAATTTTTTTTTTCTCTGTGTTATTTCACATAAACACTCCGGATTATGAGTGCCATCACAATTTCGAGATGAGTCGGAGCTGAAACCCGGGATTTATGGTTCGGTTCCCCCATCAATGTGAAATGGTGTGTTTGGGTTTCTGAAACCAGAGTTTTGTGAAGTAATAACTGCGGGTTGGGGTACAGTCAATTGGGACTTTATGCAGAGGTTAGATAAAATAAGGACGTATGCTTGCTGGACGTAAGACGTGTTGTAATATTCGAGTTGCGGGTGTTGTCCCGAGTGTCGTTTCGTTCTGCTCTAATATCGACATTTCTGTCCGTGGTGGAACTGGTGTATGTGAAAGCATTCTCAAAGGAAATGGTGTTGGTTGCATGAACTGGATGTCGAACTTTCTCACTCAAGACTAGGCTTCATAATCAAGAACTCAATCGCTTCCAAACTTGGTAGCTTATGTTTATCGAGATGGTCAAAATGATCGTGCGATCTCCCTTCTACTATCCTTATGTGCATGCTTCAAGCTAGTTCCGTAAAAAAAATCCTGCACTGGTCTCTGCCGTCCCATCTAAAGGTTTCCTATAGACAGTACGATAGAGTCATCTTAGTGACTTCAAAACTAAAAAGAAATGAACTCTGAAGCCTATAAAGAAGTTTTGGTAATGGTTTGTGGGAAGCTGAAGCGACAGTACTCAATGTCGAAAAATTGTAGATCTTTGTTAGAGATGCTTAGAATTCATCTAGGAGTGAAGAGAAAGAAATAACTTGATGAGAAAGTCAAGTAAAGGATTTAAATGAGTGGAATGAAATGAGCGCAAGAGAGCAAACGAATTATAGTTTAAATTCTTGTATATTATGCATTGTTTTACAACAAGCGTATGATTAAATGAGTAAAGACCTACCTGTCGAATGATCTTTACTCTTTACTTAGTTAAGTTTAACATAAGACTGAATGTTAGGTTAGGAAACCTCTACAATGTTTCGATATTGCATGCAGATTTGGGTTAAAATAAAAGAACACAGACTCTTTATTAAAAACTGTGACATTAAAGACAATGCAGATAAGCTCAGCTATAAATGGAAGATGGGTGGGTGCTAGGTATGGAACAGTTTCATATCTGTCCAAGGAATATTAAATTAAGACATCCTTTAAATTTAATACAACTTTCCACATATTATTATCAGTTTTTGGAAACCTTTACGTCAGAACTCTCACAAGTACGAACAAACACCATCTTTCAGCAGAAGGACAGCTTAAAAACGATCTGAATGCAATCTCAATCGAAATGCTGATACATCATCGACTACAGCTTATGCGTTAGAGACATATTGCAGTACAGAATGTCAAAGACTACCGTACGATGTACGATGAAAACTCAACTACTTTTAGATCAGATCTAAAGAGGCGACATACCAAAGGAAATGCTCAAAACCAATAATCTTGAAATTTTTACAATAGAAGACAACTTCCAAGTCAATATTCTTCAAATTATACTTGCAGATCATTCCATGGTTTTCTACCCTGCAACAATCTGACAAACTATCAAAAATAATTACAGATCCAGGAACCGCTATCGAAGAAGAGAATTACTCATGCAAATTCATTGTTTTGCAAGAAAAGCAGCTTTTTGTCCTGCAAGTCAACGAAGACTTCGGGATATCAGCAACAAGTGCGAGGTCAATTTAGCACAAAAGCTAATCGTGCATGTACATATCGACGACTACAGAGGATTCTACAGATGAAGCAATCTATGGTATGGATAGATCATTGGCTCAGGTTCACAGCACTCCTTTCAGCTCAAATGACACTCTTCTCGTAGATAAGTCCTTCATTCTTAACCGTTAGTTTGAACACTTCAGTTTCTCTTCGTACAGTCAAAGAATCACCAATTTGGTGGGAGCACGCAACCTTGTTTCATATCGTTAGTTGTCGAGAAAGGTTTCAAGAGTGAATTGCCATACTTGACTTAACCAAGCCATTCTTTGTGTAACAGGGCAATCATTTTGAGGAACATAAGCAATAGCCTTTTCTGCTTTAGTAAGGTCAACAAGGGTCATGTAGAGTCACTGCAATTCTCTAAGAATGAATATTATGTTTGCAGTGCTTCTGTTAGTTTGAAACGCATATTGGCTCTTAGGTAGAAGTTCATCTACAATAATGGGTATTAGTTCATTTAAAAGCATTCTCGCAAGAATTTTACCAGCTGTAGAGAGTAAAGTATTTGAGTTTGAGCAATCAGTTTTTCTCTTTTCTTCCTAATGACTATGTCTCAGAGATCCGGTGGAAATTCATTGTCTTTCTAGAAATTCATGTGCAGTTCACAATAAGCTCGTTTTAAATTCTATGCCTCTAGATTTCGGATGGAATTATTCTTCTAGGATGGCTGTCTGGAAGCTAACGAGCTCATTTTGTCCATGGACACACTTTATCTGACTTTTCATTTAAGACTTGTCCGAATTGAGAGTCTCTATTATCTAGCATAGCTCATAATCCCATAAAAAACACGACTCTCCAGCTGATCTCAACAAACTGATTCTCCATGACAATGCTGCCGAGAAGCTTTCAGTCTATACTGACTGTAACACTTATTCAGCTAGCTTCCTGATCACAGAGGAAATGTTATGCCTGGGATTTCTGTTTGAATTGCTGTTATAAGTTTTAAATTAATGCAAAATTTTAGTGCAATACAATAAAAATGCATGGTAATTATACATAATGTTATAGTGAGCATTAATAATATCATAACAACATCTGCAAACAAATGATTACTCCAACGGTCCAATATGCTAATACACCATGTCGTAAAAACAGTAGAGATGAAATCGTTAATTGTTTGTTGGTTCTATTTTCGGGGTTCTTTATTTGCTAATGATTTCATAAATTTTTGACTTAAAAACATCTTAAAACAGTTTGGAAAGGATTGATTTCTGGAAAAATTTTTCTATATTACTGACTGAATTTTCATTTCAGTTAGTAATATCTAAAATGAGCAAGGTGGTTAGTCCTAGTTTAGCGACTAATAAGATAGAGGCACTTGTGAAATTTGTTAAGCCAGAAGCTAGAGTAACAAAAATTAAGTGTCTCTCATTATGTTAAACAAGATGATCCGCTTCCATGTGCAAGTGAAGCTTTGAAGGAAATTCTTAAATCACAAAATCTATGACAATAATACATCATCTCGTTTAAAAACTGTTGATAATTTCTCCAGATTAAAATCCGAAATGCAAATAAAATTTGTAGTAAATGATAATTCACAATGTGATTAGAAAGATTTAAAAAAATCGAATTATGCTGAGAAAAACCGGATTTCACATACTCGTAAAAACACGACCACATCATCTATGAAGACCTTTTATATTTTATGAAATCATTTGTATTGCTGATGGTGCTACTGTAAAATCACTACCAATATAAACGGCGTGATCAAGTAATTGAATATGTGGATTAACTACATTTATAGGTAAACCTGATGTCGGCAAAGATACTTCAATACCTCTATTGAACTGTTGATTGGCTGCCTGAAATGATCCGAATTTCAGAACGAGCAATTGAAAAAAAAGATGAGTGCAAGAGTTATACAATAACGAGTTGTCAATCGATCTAGGTATAAATGTACTACTGTAAACTTTCTAGAATGGAATTGAAATGACACATACCCGTAAAATCATGTCTTTCGCTAAACTGGCTAAATTATCAAGTGCATCCTGCTGTAGGCCCAGTGTTTGATCTCGATCTATCAATTTCAGTACCGGTAACGATGCATTTGCAATGATTCGCTGACCCATTATTTGAAGCATTATATCGGCAACTGTTATCACTGTTATAGTACCAACTCGTACATTTGTTTTATCCAAGTAGATGTCAATAAATGTTACCGAATCTAATTGTATACTGCCTGAAAGTAAACCGAAATTTATTTTGAAGTTTCTGGAAATTAAGCAGTGAAAGGATTCATATGCATGCAACATTACCTCCACCACGTCGACTAATCGTGATTGAAGGTGCTCGTGCTGAATTTATGGAAAGGGCTAATGTCGTGTTCGGATATTTCTCCTTGATGGCTGGTATGATATCACCCAGACAAATGCCAAGATCGGCCAGATCACCCAGACTTCCCAGATTACTACCACTGGAATCGCTACCCGTAACTGCCTGACGCTTACTACGTTGCTGATGGTAAAGATAATAACGACGGCGAAGTTGACTTAAACGTAACAACCGTAATAATAATGCTTCGTTTTCGAACTCCTCCTAGAATATTTTCATATTATTAAAGCTGATACAAGTGTTACAGTTGATACAAATAATATAAGTTTAAAAATCCTTTTTTTTTTCTACTAATTATCCAAGCAAATGAATTTCTAGCTTCTAACAAATTATCTGATCACTTAAAATTTTAACTCGAATTTCGAGGCAAATAAATGATACCGTAACCTCTCATTCTTGAAAAATGAACAGGTAACTAACTCCTGAATAGTCGTTGCTGACATCACACGTCGTTGTTAATAGTGCTCCAATACCAGGTGTTTCTGGTCCTATCCGGAATGACAGAAAGTTGGCTCTAAAACTACCTTTATAATAAAGGAAAATTAAACAGAAAAAGTTAACAGTATAAAATTGCAATCCTCGCAGTTCTAATGTATCGGGAAGATCACGATGCTTTCTTTTCTTTGAAAAAGTGCTTCCTTTTTCATATTGTGCGATGTTCTCTCAAATAAAGAATGTTGCAAATATTACTTGTGCATCCAGTACAGAAGAGAATTGACTGTGAAATCACTAATCAGAATTTCAATCATTGGTGATCCTATTGGCGTAGGCCACTGCATTGGGAATGGACCAAATGGTGTGCCACCACGTCCATTAGGACTAAATTCCCCATTCAGGTCTAAGTTATAATCATAATATGTTGCATAAGACCGTAGTAACTGGGTCGTCAACACTAAATTTGCCACTTTCCTCTGCAAAAGGATTGAAAATATTAAGTTTTAAATTGCGGTAATCTTAAAATATAAATTTGAATAGTTTCTAATCTAAAGCTGATAATAACAAAAACTAAATCAGAGACAAGCAAATAAAAACTGTTTCCTTCCAATCACTCATTTCATCCTTACAAAACAAGAAAATTTATTGCAGATTGAAGAATCAAAGCATTTATGATAAATGTTATTAATTAATCAGATAAATGAGACAAATTATGGCTTATCACTTGCACTTTTAATTAATGATAAGTTTTTTGTTGTGCATTCTGTCTATCGCTCAAATTATCTGTTAGTGAAGTGAAATTGAAATAGTATAGGATATCAATACTTTAGTAAAATACCAGATTGAGTTGATGTTTGATAAGATTGCGAACAGCACCAAATGAATCTTTAGCAGAATCAGTTGGACATCCAGCACACGGGTCGCTACTTTTTCCTCTCCATTCACCAATTTTTCCAGCAGGTTGGTGTATCCCACCTGATCTGTAATCACTCGGAAGTCTATCATATCCTTTGGAAACCTGTACGGCAACCGGCACACCACGCACTGCCGATCTGTTAAAATTACTAGATAATATAGTGGTATATTGTCCAGAGGCTTTTGAACTGTGCTGCGGAAGTGTCGATGATTGGAGCAGTAATTTCTGAGCCGTATTTTGCTTATGCTTTTGCTGCTGTAATTGCTTAACATGCAGTTCTGTCGGTATTAAGTGCAGTACTACAGTTTGCTGTGATTGAACGGTTGGATGAACAGTTCTTGACCAATCGGTGATGTTATTTGACGACGAACTTTCAAATCCTACTGCTTCTCGTTTGTTCCTTGCAAAAGGATGCACACGAGTACTGAGAACCTGAAAAGCAATTCAGTGCACTTATATCGTTGAATCATTTTCAAAGACCTCACTTTATTTGTCGTTTTGTTTTTCTTTTTGTAACTCACTGAAAGCTTATTTTTAGCATAAATGAATGTACCAGCAACTGTATCATATTATCTTCTCTGAAAGTGATTGAAACGGCGAAAAGTCTGACGTTCACTTGCTAATAAAAATAAAGTAAGGTTAATAGATTAATAAACGACTTAAATCTGAAAAAGATGAGAGAGAAAAAAAAATAGACATCTGTGATGCATACTTGCTATCGAATCAAATATAATTAGTTCACCTAAATTAAATAACAAACCTTTTGAATTGGTTGACGGAAAGATTGTGCATTACTTCCTTGTACTAATCCATTGCCAGCGGAAAATTCTACATGGTTTTTATTTTTAACGCTGTTACCCCATTTAGCAGAAGTTTCACTATCAATTCGCTTTTCAGCACCGGTTCCAGATAATTGCATTCTTTTCCCTTTCGTTTCAACACTGTCTTCAAACTTCCGTTGCACTTGTTTCGCAATTGTGTGAGTTGGAGCAGATGCTGCAACCTTGGCAATACTGTTTTTGGAACCTCTAACTCCTTTAATACCATGACTGAACGGTGGCAATGGTGGATTTCTTGGTGGAAGGGCACCAGCACCGCTATTGCTTGGCGGTAATTTTGGTGTTGTTGAACGTGCTTGACACTGCTGTGAGAGACACTGAAGTATTGATGATGAAATGGTGATTTTTGTTTATATCTCTTTTCTTTTATAACAATTTTCATATTTTTGAGATTTATTTGAAATCTGTAAGCTTATAATTTCTGAAAAATGCTTGCAAACCGACTTATTATCTACCATGACATTAATTTATTTTAAAGAAGCTCGAATTCTTTCTGTTTTGCTATCCATCCAGTTGATCGTCAAGCATTGCCATTTGTTGACTTATTATTTCTGAATTTTCTTTTTACCTGTTAACTTATTACTTCCCTTCTATTAAAAATTTAACTTTTGATAATTTTCGAAACTTTCCGTTCCATTATTCCTAGGATTACACTATCAACTTTTCCTTTTTTTCCATATTCCAGAAATTTTAGGTGAAAACTTTACTTATTTCATTTCCCTACAAAATATTCAATCACTAACATGAGCTGGTACTGATCCTCCAAGAAAATTTGTGAATAAGGTTGCAAACTGTGTAAATGGAATCGATTGTGGTATGCGAGCTAACATAGGATTGATCCGTTCATTGATTACCTGTGGTAACATTCCACAAAAGCGATCTGGTACCATAGAACGTACTCGTTCAGAAATTTGCTGCTGAAAATCAGTTCATTTTTTTTTCACGAAACAGTAAATTTACTTCTTTTAGCTGCCTCACAAAAGTTAATTCTGATTAATTCAAAATAGCTAACTTAATTTCATTATTTGCAAAAAAAGAATTTTGTTTTTTGAAATGGAAATCGTATTGGATTTTCTTCCTTTTACAAGTCTTACCCGGAAAAACAAATTTGCCAGATTACCCAAAAGACCACCACATTGTATGCACACATCGGCAAATGGTATTTCCATATTACAACCACATAAGACCACTTGAGGTGCTCCAGACACTGAACGCTCCAGCTTCACTGTTATAGTGACTGATACCTAGAAGACTGATGATCAGTAAACAAATGAGTTGAGCAAACTAAACAGCATAAAATAGTAATTAACAAATTAAAATACGATAGCTACATATTGCTTCAACATAAAGGATATTTGAAATAAAAGATTCAGTAACTCGGAATTACAAATAAATGATATAATGTAATTAAGAAATTGATCAATCAGAAGAAACATTCGAAAAAACACCATAATATTGTGCACTTAATTTTTTGATGGTTGATAAGCACGAGAAAAGGAAAATTACGATATGAAATTGTAAACCAATGATGTAAGAAATTGGTTCAAAAGAACTTTCTAATCAAATACATTTTTACTAGAAGCTGGCTTAACAAGACATTATAAATATAATTATGTAATAACTGGTTTTGTATTGGAAATATGTCATTGTTTGAATCCGGATTATAAGTGCTTTTGTGTGAGTGTAATATGAAGCTGAACTAACGTGATAGAAGTTAGCATGAACGATACCAGAAAGCTGGATAGGAAGTATTATTCTGGCGATACCGTCTAAGTTACCTGTCACTCTGCAATGTTACCGTTACTTTTCTCACTCTTTAATTTTTTTTTTATCTATTTAAAAAAACTCTGGTTAGTAAAAGATTCTAGAAGTTAAACAGAAGAGTGACTAAATATGAAATGCCAAAGTACAAATCAAGTTTTCAAGTTTATGAAAAGTTTTGCATGCTTTACCCAATGTCGAAGTCTTCCAAATTAAGAACAATATGGTTTGGTGGTGCTGGAAAAATATTTATGCATTGAGGCGAGCGATAGTTGGAAACATGGATATTACATATCGTAGCTTCACCGAAGACCTGAAGTAATTTTGATAGAGTAAATTATCACAGTTGCACTATACATGAAGTTACTGTGATTAGTGGTATCCAAATTTTAACAAATATGAGGTAAGAAATGATTTTTGAAAGTACCTCTTTAATTTCTGTGCGTACATCAGGTATCTGAATATTTACGATTTCTCGATCAAGAATTTGGTTTAGTAATGTACTAGCATATTGGAAAGTACGCCGGTTGACACGGATTTTGATTCCTGGATTCCCACGATATCCACGAAGAAGAGCTGGATTAAAATCCGCTGACATAGCACCTACCTGACCTATCGCTCTCCTATCTTTACTGGGACGGCTATAGAAAACAGAGTCTATCCTGAAAACAATATAACTGCAAGTAATTAATTTTTAATTTGCAGAGGATAAATTGGTTAAATGTCTATCACGAAATATTAAAATATTGCAATAGCTTTATATAATTTTTCTGAGTAAACAGAGCTTAAAAATTAGTTCCATTTTTTAAAATCTTCTTTCTTTATTATGGAGACTTCCTGCGAAGTGCAAAACTGCAAGGTTTAAAAATCGAATAGTGATGGCTTACGCTGGCTTTCCAGGAGTAATCGGGGGTGCGCCAACGTTTTTTGCAAAACCGGCAGCTCTCGGTCGCTTTACTGTTCCACTAGCACGTTTTTGAACTTCTCTAGTGATAACATCACCATCTCTGAGTACATCTACATTGTTGAATAAAGGTTGTACTTCAAGTTCGCTATCATTTGCTCCACTCAACTCCCAAACAACAATTTCCAGTAATAGAAGGAAAGGAGCAAATAGCTGGAATTCAAATTTTTGTGAAAATCAAGTTTTTTAATTGGTATTTAGAAATTTATATGATGTGATCAGTTATTTGATGATATAATCCGTATCTACAATCCATCTAATACTCATTAAATCATTTCAGACTTTCTCAACTTTGTCGACTGGAATATGTCAGTGTAACACAAAGGAAATCATTTCATTTTTTGCTTTATCAGTTGGAAATATTTGTTGCAAAAGATCACGATATTAACGTTGGGCATCAATTACACTTATTTTTCATATTTATGGAAAATTAGTATTTGCTAAACTATTTTGTGCATTAAAATTAAAAATCTGGGTAGTAAATAGTTTTGTTTCATTTCGATTTTAAAGTGATTTTTTTTAAACAACAACAGTAACATCATTTTGCTTTTGGAACTTAGTTTACTCTTTAGTCGCAAGTGCTGTGGTACTAAACCTTTCAAAACAGAACTTTTTTTGTTCTAATAAATAATAGGATTTCTACCGTAATTATCATCAGTTAAGATGAAATAGAAGGTTGACTAACTGGTTGACTGTCTTCGATAAATAACAGACAGGAAAATGCCCATTCTTCTAATGTGCAACTCTAATAGATAAAAGTATTGTTTGCGATAATTAAGCATCATTATTTTTGGTGAACATTTTGCGCTTATAATTATTTCACACTCTCATGTATTTCCCATAAATTCTTGCCTTATCATTAAATTCTTTATGAGATTAAGTTTATGGAGATGAATGCAAATTTAAGAAAGGAAAGTTTTAGTTCACTAAGAAATTATCAGTTTGTAGTCAGACATAACGAACCATCAACAATTCGTATTGTGCAAAAGTTTTAGCATTTAGAGTAGTTTGCTGATTGTACAATTAATTTGTTTTTATTTCCCAAGAACAGGATCTGTTATTTAATTTTCTATTATTCATTGTGTGAAGAAAACATTTTTATCCTACTCTTCAGTTAACATTTGATAAGAATTTGGCGTCCTTAAATTTTTTTTTTTCAGATTTGGAAAGTAAACTAAAGCTATTTATTGGGATTTTTCATCTTATTTTTATTATCAAAAAACTCTTCAAGTGACCTACATATGTCCTGCTGTTTAAAAACATGTTGTGGAAAATCGAGCACGGGCTCTGAAATAGAATATAAATATTTACAGTACGAAAAAACATGGACAATTTGATTGCCATAACAGAAACAAACATCGCACTATATACTGTAATGAATATACATCGAAATAATTGAAGCAAGGAAAATTAGAATATTTGGGAAATTTTCAGTGAGTTTCTTTCACATATAATGAAATCACTGGGAAGGATATAAAATTCTTCTCAAAATGAAAGAAATGGAAAAAAAAAAAAACAATATACTCTCAAATGAAATTTAAAGCTAAACTGCTTTTGGCTCACAATAAGCTATTAAATTCACAGTGGTGTTGGGCAAGGCTTACTTTATTTTACTCTTATTTCAACAAATTAATTAGTAAGATTTGATAACCATAACATTAAATTGAAATGTTGCTGTGGTCTATTTTAGCTTTGTGTCAACCAAAAGTAGCATACAAAAATTGATTATCGGTTGAGCTTTAGACGACCAAGTACTACACGCCAGAAACGTAACATTTTCAATGTTCGTATAACAAATTTATTTCACTGAGTTGTAATGCAATTTTAAATGAAAGGAAGAAGTCAAATTTTCGTAATCGTTGGTTGCTCAGTATATTTCACCAGTCCTTAAATAATTCGAAATTTGATTGAATTTATACATATGTCGACTATGGGTAGCACATATGAGTTAAACTGTGCAACAGAAAGTTAGACATAAGCGAATGGGAGAACTAGGTTGACCATGAAGATAGTGAAGGAGAAAGTAATACAGGTTTAATCAATCAAACGTTTGTCCACTATTCAGCGATATTTGTGGAATATTCATTATATATAATTAGATGAAATTTTATGAGTGAATCACTGCTTTTATCATTGAACTAATCTGATGGAAATTTTCCTGAATAACACTTTATATTTCTCAGAATAACCATGCAAATTTTATTTTAATCTTGTTGAGCTTTATTTCTGACAGCTTACCTTCAACACAGTCATTCTCCTTTTTTAAATGCAGGTATGTAAAATATATTATAGTCAAAGGTGAAGGAGAAAAAACTGATTTTAAACGAATCCGCGATCGGAAAATTGTTCAAAAAATTTTGAAGACTTCATTCACTAAGCAAGATGAAAGAATAATCTCCTGAATCAAACGGTATAAGATAAAATTTTCTGGATGTAACAACCGCTCCTCATGGAAACAGTGATGCTTGAAGCTTGTTGTTGCACAAACAAACCACATTATAATATTTCTTTCTTGTCACAGTAAAGGGCGGGACAGAGAAGAGTGGACTGTAAAGTTGTCATTGCTCGCGGAAATCTTGTATTAGTGGAGACCGAATATAGTTGTGACAATATTGCTTTCCGGTTCGGTGTATAAGTTAAAAGATGGCTCGAAAAGTTATTTCTTACGTTGTTTCCTTCGCAATTATTTTAACTTGTAACAGATTTTTGTGCAAAATGAGATGATAAAGAAAGAGTGGATTAGTAAAATGTAATGAAAAAGTTATAAAAATATCATAGTTTCGATGAGAATACAAACTGTAAAAAGAAAGCATTCATGACGACAAATAAGAATAAGAATGCGGAACATTTGTAGAAAAGCAAAATCGTCGGATCATTGACGCAACGCGAATTACTTGGTGGTGATCGAGCAGTAGTGTGAAAATGATAGCTATTAATTTTTCTTACCTTTTGTGTTATTTTATTTCACTGACTTATAATATCATACATCATTAAGGTATTGAAATCTTTGAATGGGAAGAAAATTCCTGTCAGCTGCCAAAATTTAGATTCATTATTTGCGACGATAATTTTAGCCATTAGACCAGCGCTTACTATTAAAAGATAAATAATTAATAAAGCATGTTTGTCTCTGTCACTACTTTGACAAATTTATTTGAATTTTAAACAATTTCTAAAGCTTTTCCAACTTCAGCTCTATTTTCTTAAAGTCAGTATAGTCATCATGGATGTGTGGATTAAAATATCTCAGAAAAAAAAAAAAGAAATTGATGATAACTACTGGCAGAAAACTAAACAATGAACAAAGCGGTTTTGTTAGAAAAACTGGAAAAAATACTATTCATTTTCTAATGAGACAGAAAAGAGTCGATGGATGTCCACCGACGCTGCTCTCAATAACATGTTTAATACTTCTGAACACTTGTGTATTTTTCAGTATACATAAAGAATGCTTCAAAGGAATCATAAGGTAAAGTTAAGCACAACAGGATGACCATCCAATTACAGTCATGTTTGGATGGCATAACACGTCAAACCAGATTGGCTCATGTTAATTATGATTACAATTTATGAAGCTAATCAATGATGGTTGAATCAGATGTTATGTGAAGGTGATTTTATAAATTAAATATATTGAAGTTGCTTGAAAAAGAATCTGGAAAATTATTGTAATGGAAGTAAAAGAAGTAGGCAAAATTATCTAGCAGTGAGGGAAAGAAATTCTCTAATAATTAACGAGTAATTTACTGGAAAAATCCCCTAGTGTTCAAATTAATCATTTAGTAGTGCATTTTTGTTTAAAATTGAACGATAAGACATGATTTGAATGATTTGACAAGTTCTCTTCAAAATGAACATCTGTCAAATATGAATGGTTCCTTTGATATAAGAACAAGTAGTAAGAGTAAAGATTTACTGAAAGAAAAAAGAGATAAAAGTAACAGTGGTATTTCGACTGAGTGAGTTTAAAATAGTGGTAAAATAACCATTCGAAAAGCGATCAGAACGAGCGAATTACAAGACGAAAAGAACTTGAAACAGAGATATGGAGAGCAAAACATGGTGAAAAAACTTGTTTCACTCCGAAGGATATCAGTTATCCGTTGTGGAAGGCATGATCACTTCATTGTCGAAGCTTTTATCATATTTTCTTTACTTCTTCTAATTTTTAATTAATTTTCTCAGCAAGTAGCAATCCACTTATTTTGTCCATTTCTTTTGTTTCTACAGATTTTCCCTAAATAATCCGACCGGAATATCTGATGAATGAGAAAACACTATGCAAGAAGCATTCCAGAAATTGTGATTCACTTCTGAAAAACTTTCTATTTTTAATTCTGTTACTATAAATCAGTAAAGTGATTCAACATCAGTTCGAGAGAAATGAGCCTAATTTACACTTTAACATTAAGTTCTTCAAATTAAATTTTTTTTCTTCCCTAAAAAAACATTTCTAAATTTCATAAAACACCGCTTATACCTTTTAAATTTACACTCAAAGTGCTTATTCACCACTCTTAACCTTTGCTATTACATTGATCATGAATAATATAAAGCATAAATCAGCAACATCACAAAGTATGGCCTTTAACACCCATACCAGCAATTTCAATTCCGGTTTATTCAAATCCTATTGTGAATGGTTTCTATTAAAATCTCAGTTCTACAGAATCCCGTTTTCCCTAAATGCCCCAAATCCTTATCACATTTTCTGTAATTTTAAACTGTTTTGCCTATCATTCTGATCGTATTCTGATTTGTTCATTTATCATCGAATATTTCTCTTTTAACCGAAAATAGCTTTCGATATTATAAATCAGATAAAGCAAGTGCTATTCTTTTTTTCCTTCTCTCCTTCTGTCCTATCTGTCTTCAACTTTATACAATGACTATTTCACAAAAAACTCTCACAAAATCGTTTACAAATACTTATATTAACACAATCATAAAACCGAAAATACTAAAGTCGACTGCCCATCTGTTTCATAGAGCAAAAATCAGAAAATGACAGTTGACATCAGGGTCAGAAGGATGTATGAAAGCTTTATTGATTGTAAAGTGCATCTCAACCTAGCAGTGATATTCCTTGCATTATTATCAACATACACAGTTGCGCCGGAAGAGTGGATGTAATACTTGGCAGACAGCACACGCTCGTGGAACCTTCGGTTATTTACGGTAGGAAATTTTGTTCCTTTGGTAATTTCTACTAGGAAAACTCTTAATAATGAAGCATACTGTACCGAAAAGTTTTATTTAATGAGATGCTTGACTGAAAGAATTCAATATGTTGCTTCACAGCCACTGCTTTAATATAATCCCAGAACACGACTGTACTTCGTGATATTATAGTACCAAGGTTACTGAGGGACTCGGTAATATTAAAAGTACCAGGGTTATTGAGTGATTCTTTGTTTAGAATATAAGATAATAGTTAAAAGGACATGAAAAAACTCAAAAAACAGATCGAAAGCGCTTTTTTAAACAGCGAGTTCAATAATTTTGATATGTAAAACCTGGAAATAATGGTAAATTTAAAATGCATTAATAGAAGGCAGTCATTTTATTGGGAAAAAAACATTCATTGCAAATCATTTTATTTAAGGAAAAAACAAGCTAGATAATAAAGAGCGATCAAACAAATGGCACATAAAGAAGGATAAAGATTACAGTAACTTATAACAAAATTATAATAAAAAAATTCGTAGCTGAAAACTATCAGATTAGGCGATCATGGCTAACAATATATGATTTACCATCGGTAAGAATTTTTAGATCCCTAGATAGTTGAGAAGTCATTTCCACAGATGAAGAGTCATTCATCGACAAGAGACCCAGTCGATCCGAAGGCGAGTTGCTGGATTTCAAAATCTGCAAACTTAACAGTCAATATTCTCGAGATTATTTTATGAATTACATTCAACTTATACCGTAGCAGTTGCTGATTAGTCCTAAAATCAAACTGCAGCAGCAAGGTGGAAAAGTCGATTAAAACTATAATTATTCAAATAGTCTTGGGGTACACATCAATGTTATCTATTCACAAACTATCACTTCTCTTTACTGTTTGACTCTTTTAAAATTAAGATTAAGGTCATGGCCTAATATCAATTGGACAAGGAAAGCAATATAAACAATCTGCTTTGTTCGAAAGAAATGCAAGACATAAAAATTTTCGAAATAATCATAAAGTTTTTCATACAGTTTCTTTTATAAGCTAGCTATTCCTGCTGAAAAAAATTGTTTGAAGAGATTATTCTCTTCAAACAATTTTTGTTCTTTACCTTCGCAATGAAATAACGATTTTGTGTAATTTATAAAATTTCCATATTTGAAGGCTGTGAATGAGATTTTTCTGCGTAAAACATGCATAGGAATTGAAATAAGCACCTTAATACGTTCTTCTTCCCAGCGTTTCCTTTCGTCAGCAAAAAGACCAATTTGTTCATTGAGTGTATCACGCAAAGTTGACACTTCACCTCTTAGTTCATCGACTTCATTGCGTAATTCACGTTCTGACGACGATTCCTGCAGAATTCTTCGCGCTATGACACCAAGTTTTTGCATTTTATTTCAAAACTAATTTCAAATTGAAAAACATTTTTAAATTGAAAAAATAATTTTCAATTGAAAAAAAAATAGTCAATTACTATGAATTAGCAGCGTTATAATGTAAGCTTAATTTACATTGAATTAGTCAAATGCATGATAAACATATAAGTCTTCCTCAAAAAAAAAATTAGAAACCTTGGAATACCGCGGTGCTGGCAGTGGAGGTCTAACACGCTTGTCAGCAATACTGTTGTTAGTATTTGCTGCAGTAATGTAACATGTGATACGCTTGCGACATGGACCGCAAACAGTTTCATCGCGATTTCGAATGAGCTCATCGAAACACTCACGTAGTTGGAAAAATTCACGTTCAAGTTGCAAACACTATAAAAACTAGAAAATTTATTTCCTTGACTTATTACATAAAACAGGTATGGGAATAAATAATTTAATGATCTCCATGTTTCAAGAGTTATATGTTTTCTTAACATCCAGAAATTATTAAAATTTTTGCCGTTTTCTTCTTCCTTTCTAATTTGAAGTTTGTTAGCGAACATTTTATAAAATGCAGGACAGTTTATTTGTTCCAAGAACAATGGCGACAAGACTAACTTTGCGTTGTAATCCCTGCTTATCACTGGTAAGATTCTGTATAGTACTCCTGAATTGTTCTCGTTCTTCGTTACATCGTTGAATTTGCTGCCGTAATGCGTTTTCTCCTTGTTGGCTAGCCTAAACATTTATTTTAGAGACAAAAATACTGTTTCAATATAATATGTCGTGAATCTTCTATGAACATCGATCGAAACAAGGACATAACTGAGTTAAATGATTCCTTGTAATAAGAGGAAAACATATATTTGCCTATAATTTATCAACACCAAAAAACAATTACCTGCAACTTTTGCTTAAGGTCAGCAAGTTGCTCTTTCCAAAGTCGCTCCTTTTCTAAATAAACCTTCACTACAACCTCTTCGTTCTGTTCCATTGTCGCTCGTACGTTTGTCAGTTCATTCTCCTTATCTCGAATGATTGTCTGAAGGATATTCTGCTTTAAAGTAAATTAATCCATTTATATCCAACACTGACTAACTACGTTGAACTAATGCCATCTTATATTCATATAAAGTTTGCATCAAAAAATTCTATAACTTTTATTAAGTTATTGCATTGCGCAATGAGATTTCAGAAAAGGAAAGAGAAACAATCGTGAAATTTAAAAAATTTCGAGAAAATAAAGATAAGTGGAATTGCAAAACTGTCATAAATTTTAAACAATTGAACTGTAAATCAAGTTAAGAACCTATAAATGGTACTCGACGCTCACAACAAAAACATTTCAGGTGATATGATGGCAAAGGAATAAAGGATGTGATATTTGTTAAATAAATAAATAAATAAATAAATATATATATATAAACATTTTTTCTTGAATTTTGAGACAAACGCCCTAAAAGTTTTGCTTATGAAGCAATAATTTTAAAAAATGAAATTAGGTTGGGAAATTTAAATCGCGGTTTTAATTTCCAACAAGATGATTACATTCATAAAACCTTTTTTAATTAAGCTGTATAGCAATTTCTATTTATAGTTCGAGAGCTTATTCATTGTTTAGATTTGACAAATTCATCCTCTCTCATATACATAAAGCAAGACATAGTTCATTACTTGTAGAAATGAAATGAAATTATGTAACGAAAATTGCGACAAACCTCGTAATCGACAATACCGGAATCACTTGGTGAAGGTGTAACGTGTATTCCTGAGCTATGACGACTACCAGAAGAAGTATTCGAACCGTAAACTTGGTGTGAAGATGGAGACTTCTGCAATGAATGCCGATATTTGTGCACAAAAGCATGACTCTTCTTGATGGAGAACTTGACCTATCAGATACAGTCACATTGCTTAATTCTTACGATCAAAGACAAACTAAATCAGTAAAAATAAAAAATCGAAATTGACTAAAAACAAAATTTCCTGTTAGATCAGTGCTGATCAAGTTAAAAAGTTATAAGCACCGCCGAAAAAAGGCTTATCACTGAATATGAGTAATCGAAAAAATATTCTGCGATTCCAAAACAGTTATAAAAACCTTTTATGTATTACAACTGCTAATAAAGATAAAATTAAATATGAAACGATTCACTGACTTATTGACAGCTGACTACAACTTACCATCTGGAGTCTCCGCAACGCATTCGGTGAAAAAAAATTTGTTTTTTTTTTTTTTTTAAACCGTGATGTAAACAGACCTTGACGAGATTCAGTGATGAAATCCCAGCCGTTACGCTGACTGCTGCATGTTGCTGTATTTTATCATGGCTAATAGTGGTATTACTGTTTGATGTCGCTGATGCAGCAGGAAGTTTCTCGGACAGTGAGTATGGCATCGAATGTACAACTGAATAGTTCTCACCGATTGACGAATCTACTGCAAATTATTTGTTTGAAACAATTAACAATAAAGAATTTTTAAATAGAAATAAAAAATATCCAATAATTATATATCCCTATTCAGAATTTAGATAATAAGAGTTATGAATCCGAAATCTAAATCTTCAACAGTAAATATATAACCGTTAATGCTTGACACTGGACATACTTTTTAAACTAATTTTGAAAGATAAATTGTCAAGACTTTAATTTAAAGTATCACCACTTATAAACTAAAAACGGAAAAAAAAAACCGACTTTAGGTAAAGGAAAAAAAAGTGAATCAAAAGAATTTAAATTGGCTAGTTAATGACTACTATCATGTGCATCAATTTAGAAACAGATCAGTTGCTATGAGTAGCTTGCTACCAATTCTAATAAAAAATTTAAATGAATCAGAAAAAAAGAAACAAACAATCGCACTGTATTTTCCATACGACAAAACAAGGAATGTTAGAGGTTATACAGCAGAAACAATAATGATGTAATTTCCACTATTTCTGAAGTGAAGAGCTCAAAAACGGAAAAACTCGAATTTTTAATCAAGATTTCGAGATTGGTTTTAATCAATCCATATCGCAGCCGATTTGTTTCTGGTATAATCTGAAGTTCATCTGCCGAATTAACTAAAAATTCCTAAAGGGAGAATTAAACGACAAATTAACCATTAATGTAGAATTTGTCGCGTTCAATGTATTCTGGCACAACATCATAATCATTTTCCTCAGCCTCAATTTTGTTAGACCTTCTTTGCGTAATCATTGCGGATGTCATTTGGAAGCTGCGATTGTTAAACAAAAAATACTTAAAATCTGATCATTCAGATATTTGAAATAAACTCTGTCAAATTCTGTAAATTCTGCTTACCAAAACCTTTTTCAAGCATTCCTTTTCACATCACATTGCATCTCGAATTTATAAATATAAAACGATCATTTAAAAAAATCGTATTATTTTAATCAAAGTACTTTTGTTTTTGTTTTTTTTTTTTATTTTTTTTAACTATTGTGCTTTAGAATAAAATTTGCAAAAAAGGAAAAAAAAAGGAATATGTATCATACGAAAATAAAAAAATCTTTAGCACAGATATACAGGACAAAAATGTCACAAGATGCCCTCTCAAAATAGCCAAACCTAGTGGACGGTTGATAGATGGCTCTCGGTCTGGTGCTACCATATCCTGAAGATGGTGCGGAAGAATTTGACACAGTGTCTTTTGAATGCTGTGAAGACCGTTTCAATTCATCATTGCTGTAACATGTCCAGTAAAAATCCGACTTAAAAGACTTATCGTTATAAACATGAAACAGTTATAAAAACAAATCTGATGGAGTGAATCCAAAACAAAAAAAAAAGAGGATTGGTATTAAGAATTAAAAATGGATTAATGAATGGTCACCGATCACTGACCGCACGTAAGTAAGTGTTATATAACTCAATACTTCACGAAGAATCTATTAACCAGTACACAAAACTGTTTGCATTTTAATACTAACAAGAACCGCAAAAAAAAAAAAACCCTTGAAAACTCAAGAAATCTTTCAAACTTACTTTGATAATCGTTTTGTTAGATAATCACTCTTTTTGTCGCTATTATAAAAAGAAAATGATGACGAGATAACTGTTTGCCGTTTGTCCGACTTGCGTGAAGCGTATGGTCGGAATGCTACTGGTCTAATAATGTCCATATCCTGGAAGTAGTAAGAAGAAAAACAAATGTGTAAAAATTTCTTAAAGGATTTAACACAATCAATAAGCAATATAATCAGTGAATAAACAAGTGAAAACACGAATAAAGTAGGGATAATAACTACTTGAACTAAAGGAGTCCACTAATAGGAATATTTGAATTTTGTTGTTATCAGAATATTTAAGTTCTGATGTTGTCATCCTACCATTCGTTTCATCACTTAAATCTATTGAATGAATTCGAAGCTGCTCTTTCGAAGAATCACAAAAACTCTCAAAAAATTTTCCAAATTTAAAGAAAAACTTTCTTTTTGTTGCTGTTATAAAAAGAGGATGTTGATGAGATAACTGTTTCCCATTTCTTGTAGTCTATTGTAAAATGGTTTTCTTTGCTACAACCAGAAATTAGCTTACTGAAAGCAATTCTGTAATCACACTCTGTCCCACAAACTTCACATACCATTTCATCCTTGTTTAAACGTGTTTCACTCTAATTACTGACCCCGCCTCTTGAAGGCCTATGTGTGATAAGTCCCAGAAATGCCAAGCTGTGACAGTTTGTTGTAGCGATAGACTGAGTTAGCTGATCATTGTCATGGCGATTCTTTCTAACATTTCTTAGAAGTAAGTAAGGTTATTAATAACTGTCATAGGGTTGCGACCAAAGTTTGAATTTAATGTCAAACATGCTTCGATCATTAAACAGAAAACAATTTCGGAGAGAGCTTCTTGGAAACATTGAAATTTTGTACAGCTATTAAAGCATTTATAGTCTAGCGAAATATCGTGATTTTGCATTATCTTCTCGATCTATCTAATATTACCACTCAGTAATCTCACTATGCATTAACTTTTTGGTAATATGAGAGAGTAAATAAATAGAACGGGAATATATGTTGAGAAAAGGAATGAAGCTCATTTTCGTCTCTTTTTTGGCCAGAATTTGATAAAATCTTTTAGAAATTTGCTATTTGGAGGATGGAATTTCTATTTCCAATACAAAGTGTTCTTGTTTGTTTGAAAAAAGAATATGCATATGTATGTGTAGGACAGTGATATGAAGGAATGAAATGAATGGAAAGAACTCGTCGTATGTCTTCCTCATGTCGCTATATCTACCGCCTCCCCAAAACCAATTTCAAGGACACTCTGAAGTGAACAACGTGTAGACAGTTCCACATTTCTTTTGAATGATCAGTATACAAGTATAGCATGCAAAATTAATTTCTTAGTCTAAAATTTAGTTCTGAAAGTTGGGAAACTCTCAATGAACTTTACAGTTACGGCGTGTGATAAAAACTGAATCATATCAATTCAACAGCTTTTCGCAAGTATTCAGGAAAGATTAATAGCCAGTTGTAATTCAAATTATTTATGAAGAATTACTTATATAACCGAATGAGATTCATACTAGTTCATAAATAATTTGAATTAAATTACCTACCAATCGTTCTAAAAGTTTAAAAAGTTCCAAGAATTTTCCAATTCCAAGAATTTATTTTAAAATTCCGAAGCGAATTCAAAATTAGAATGAAATAATGAAAATAATGAAAACCTTTGGTTTAACACCTGAATATGGAGTAATTCGAACTGGCGGTGGCAAATTGTTGCTTAGATTATCGCAATCTGAAACATTTTCAAATCATATTCTTAAATCATTTTAAATGATAAACCTTGTTTAGATAAAAAATATCACCAATTTGTCTGTTGAAATGCTGACTGAATGGAAGGAATGGAATCATGATAAGTTGCAAAGCACATTCAAAATTTCAAACATACTTTCAACAGTTTGAGCAGTTGTTGTTCGAATATTTTTTAAATTTTGAAAATGTGCAGCAAGATTTTTGACTGTTCGAGGACCTTTATTGTCACGTTGTTTCAAATTCTGCTGATCCATTATCGTTCCTGATCCATTTAATGTTGTACGGCTAAAAAATTTACTAGAAATTAATACTAGGAAAATAAAATGAGAATATTGTGCATTGCTCTAACTCACATCTCATAGGAGGAGAAATATCGTCGAGTATTAAGGTAAATCAAAGAGGGTCCAAACAATGATCGCTGACTGAGCACTGCAACTGCTTGGCTACTTATCATAAGAAACAATATTACGAGACGAGGGTGTAATGTTGAAGAATAATTTCATGACAGAATAATGATTCCGTCGGTTAGAGGAGGAGCGAGAGAGAGGTAAACTTACGAATGATAAATATTATTACTGGTCGAAGGTACGATTCGTCCAATGTTATTTACAATTTATTATGAATAACATTGAACTCATAAAAAAAAGAAAAAAAAATTAATGTCAAAGTGCTATCAGTGCTCAGTTCACCACTTAATGCAGTTCAGCTAAGAAATTAAAGGAAAAGTGGCAAAATCCTAGTTTCCTCCAATACAGTGACTATGTTAGCTCCCTGAAAATGAGACGTGCGAATAGACAATCGCCAACTAAGTACAAAAGGAAAGAATTTTAAAATTATGCTTAAGTGCAAGACTTCCAGATAAATGGAAGTAACAAGTAGTAGGCATAAAAATGAGGGATAATGATTACTAGATAGATTAAGAAACAACCCTTGCAATGACTTCATCGGTTACAAGCAAATCTTAGTAATGAGAGGTTCGAAATTTGACACCACAATACTTTTCTCACAAAGAACTCTCACACAACATATTTCTTCTCAAGGCTATGCTGTGAGAAGTGTTTTTGTCGAGTATCTCTAAGCTACATTTCAATTTCCGATTAAAATAAAATGGATTTAGCAAAAATGGTGAACAATTACCTTTCCTTTGCATATTATTTAGAAGTAAGCAGATTGCACTAACTGTTCTCCAGCAACTTAATCTTTATTCTGTTGTTTATTAACTCTGCCATAAATGTATTGTTCGTGAATTACTTTGTTGCTTTGATGTTCCATTTCCTAATGTTTACTGCTTTAGTATGATCTTTTTTTTATTCACTTACAATAAAAGCATGGAAATAAAGAATTTTAATTAATTGAGAAGACGTTATATAACCAGGTTCAGTCTTTCACAACTAACCAATGACTTTGTTGACCTTTTTGAACAAGAAAAAGGACTTTTATGAGAAAAGACGAAAAATTCAGCTTAGCACATACCACTTTAATTAATCCAATAATTATTGGAAAATCGGAGTTCATACTTTAAAATTCGAATTAGTTTTGCAAAGAGTGGTAACCGGGTCAAGTACATAAATTGGCAGCAATCCGATTTGTCTCGTAAAAGTGCAAATTTATTATAACCATAAAACAAAAACATTTATTACTCTGATGTCACTATTATCACCGTTATCAACTTGAATTTTTCTTTTCCGTTATCTTCTTTAGGATTGATGAAGAAAGTGGAAAATGCCAAGTGTCTGATACAATTTTTTCAAGGATTTTCCCGAAAAAGGGAATAATAGATTGATGCACAGCAATTTTGTTAAAACTATAACCAAAAAGTAGTCTCTTTCCTTTCTCAAAACTGGAAATTTAAATTCAAAACAGATTACGATTAAAAAACTTAACTCAATCGACAGTCGAAAAATCCTTAACATACCTGAGGGATTTGAAAATGATAGTAATACATTTAAGGTTAAATTAAGAAAATGGATCATTCATCGTCTTATAATAATACTTAAAGAAAAATACTATAATTTAATACTGTATTCTCTCAGTTCAAAAAATGAAAAAATAAAATTTATGAGAGTAACAGTAGGTGACAGTTAGATTCATATCAAGTAGAAATTGTTCCTTGCGAATTTTATAAGAAAAAACTGATAAGCGCTTATAATTTCAAATATTTCATTTTTAAACGTTAATGTTTACGATGAAGACTTCTAATTCATCATGTATCACTAGTGGAAGAAGCTATGCCAGAATAAATAAGTGCGACAATCGTTCTAGGGTCATAAATTACAAGTCTAATGCTTCGTTGCGCTCATTTTCATTCCCACAAAAGAGGAAATGTAAACAAAAACGAATCTATTGTGCTGTCAGCATCGCATCTGGGAAATCTGACCACAGAGGAAAGAAAAATTCTGTTTTAGATTTATAATAAATTGCCCGAGGAAAAAAGAAAACAAAATTAAGGTAGTAAAAGGAGAAGGAGAGTTCTGTTCAATAACTTTGTCTAGCAAGAATTCACAGATGCTATCTCATTCCATCCTAAAAAGATTGTCAATAATTAGATAATTCATTATTTATTTCAGTTCGAAAATTTCGAATATTTAGAGTGAGGCGGAATATAATCGCTCATTGTAATCTTTCTAGCAAGTTTTGTAAAATGCATGAATTGTTCACTGAAAACAACCATGACAATTCCCCAATGAGTGGAAACATTGGTACTACACAAATATTGCGGAGAAGTGAAAAAATTCAATAATTTTCAATTTAAAAATGTGGCAAAACCGATTAAAATCTATTTCAATTACATTCTTATTTACTATGTCAGTATGTGTTTGTTGTTCTATTCATACTTTATTCATTCTATTAACCACTCAGCCATTCATTATCGAATAAAAAATAGTGAATAGTGAAAGATATTGAAAAGAGTAAAACGACGTGACAGGCGTATCGGACAGACGTAAGCCAAGCGATTTAAGGAGTATGAAATAATCTGATGTCAAAATCAATTTTCCCAGTTTGTTATCTGGAAGATAAATCTATTCTTAGAGATCAAATAATAAGAAAAAGAGAACTTGCGAAAACAAATAAAACTCTTTTAGAACGCATTGTATATCTGTTCCATATGATGGCTAGAGAAGCTAATGATCGTAAATGACTTTCAAAAAAAAAAAAAAAAAACTCTCAGTGTTGCGAAGTGGGATAAGGAAATAAGAGCGAATGAATAGGATGAAGAAATGATAAACATTTATTGAAAGGACATGAAATAGAATGTGATATGAAAGGACTGTCAATCCAGCTAGCGATAGTGACCTGTAATATAGCGATGCACTGTTTTGTCCGAGGATAGTTCGCAGTGAAATGATGTGGAAGTTTCTGGTGTACACTGGATGATAAAAGACATAAATAACAGATGCAAATATAAAAGACAGAAAGTGACCTTCTGAATTGCATTATTCGAGCTTTCAGAAGTTGCATGCGGGTATTGAGAACAGCAATTAAGTGAATCAGAAAGAATTAATCATACAACAAAATAGAAATGCTTGAATGATAATTGAGCATATATCAAGCCAAATGCAGGTTATTTGCAATGGTGTGAATATTGATATTCAAATATTGTGCCAAAGTGGTATGTAATTGAAAGATAAAGAGTTTAAAATTTGTCGAGTGTTTTTTATTTAAGTTTGAAATTAATTTTTTATAAATTATGAAAAGGGTATGTTGGAATTTAAAAAAAAAAAGTTTGCGAAGTGTAAAGCATTTTTGGTGCAACATCCTTGTTTAAACTTGTCACTGAACTGGACCACCGTTTATTTTCCACCTGAAGTCAAGGTAAGATGTCAAAGCGAGTAAGTAATCCATCAACTGACGAAGTTGGAACAATAAAACCAAAAGAAAAAATCAGCAATATCGAAGGATGATACTATAAATAAAACTGATCAAGGAGTGGAATCCATAGTTCAGCGAACTAGAAGTGCTACAAATGGAAGGAAACATTGAAGTAACTTCAAATACGAATTTCAACACTGAACTAGTGGGTGATGTGAGTAATTATTTTGTTTAATTCATTTATTTAATAACTATTTGCTTCTTTTAATTCGGAAAATAGACCGAAACAGCAAGAAGAAAAAGTAAAAAGTAAACAAAAACAAGAAATTTTAAACAAAAGTGTATTTTTTTTTCCCATAAATTACATTTTGTCCCAGTAACCAACAGATGCCTCAATCCAGAAATAACCTTTTTCCTGCATTACCCTCCATTGATTCTTAATGCTATTTGAGAACCCAGTAAACAGATAATCCTCTCCAGGCAGAAGACCACATGTTTCCATAAACAAATGCTAAATAAAATAATTATGACAATGGGTATAATAGATCCCTGACGGATAGTTGCCTTACCAGCTGGACATAAATTAGTAGAAATCATATTTTCAAGTGGTTCGTCAGGCTTACCAAAGACAAACCCGAAAACAATCAAGTTACTCTTTTACTTCAACAAAGTGAGATTGTAGCACAAATTAAAGTTCCTCTTAACAATATCATCGACTTTTGCTTAGAAATTCTAAATGTATGTTCTTATTAGCACAGAGTTGTGGAAAAGAGCAAAAAATGTATGACTTATCAGTGTAAATTAATTGTATAACTCATCATTCTGAATTAATTTGAATCAAATATAGATTTGCCGAACCTCTAGTTAATGACTTAATATATACTGATTACTATCTAAAACTATAATTACAATTAAATCACAAGGGCATATTTAAAATATAACCCATTCCCATAGCTTTTCTAAAAATCCTTACAAAGCTGAAAAATAAATTTGATCGACAATCGACACATACGACTACAATAAGTCCTTCCGCTTCTAAATCTATCCACAAAATAAGCTCTAAGTAGAATGTGTATGACTTCGCCTAATATAATAACTTCTTTGCGCTGCATTCTGTTTCAAAATAAATTTTCGAATAACTCAAGGGAAAAAAAAATAGAGTTTAAATAACTTTCTTTCTCATAAAACTATTTATTTATTTTTTTTGTTGAATGGGAATTTTACATGAATATTCTTGCTATTCTTGCCATGCCAACACTATGTAAAAAAAAAAAAAAAAAAAAGAAAACGAAATGCTTAACCGAAAAAACACTTATTTTCATGAAGTTCAAAACTCATTTTTTTTTCCGATATAACATTTCATATTTAAATTAGAGTAGTAATATTCTATTTTGGGTACGTACGCAAAAATACATGTACACGTAGACGATAAGTTTCACAGTTTAAAAAAAATAAATAAGATTACTCCGGAAAATAGGAAAGTAAATTAATGTAGTGCGGAAGGTAAAAAATGTTATTAATCTACTGTAGTCAAAAAAAAAAATCATTGCACCGGGCATTCTCATCCAGTCTTAATTTCAAGCCCGAATAATGCACATACAAAGACTCATAATTTTCTACTAAACAGTGAAAGGTTAAACTAGCCGCCTGATTTGTAGATATTAAATACATAATAGTATTCTCATCTGTTATGAACAACAACTAAGATCGAGAATTATTAGCATATATACGGATGCTTCGAGTCCTGAAAATAAGACCATTGTGATATTCAATACTAAGAACACGGAAAATTTGCGCATCGAGTAAATATATTGTGATAAAAAGCAGAAGCATACTTTACGACAGTTTTTTTTTTTTTTTCTAACTGTTCGAAGAATGCAGTGGATTTTCCCAAGACGGAAAAAATAAAATCTTTTCAAAAATTCTCGAATTACATGGGATGAATCACTTTGTATTAAGCAAATTTTCACAAATGTGAAAACAGGAAGATGCTTTCTCCATCAATAAACGGAAAACTTTCATATTCGCACATTCTGAAAACTATCATTTCTAAAATAATTAATATACTCGCACTGTAATACTCAAATAGCAGGAATTGATGCATCATTGAATATCTTAGCTCTTGTAATCTGTTAGTCCTGAAATGACTAGCAGTAGCATACCGTTAGATTACCAGCAACTGAGAAATCAATGTCAAATAAAACATGAAGACGTTATTTTAATGGATTTTAGACAGATGGATCTTTTCTCCCCAAGGAGGTCAATAAAAGAAGTCTTCTGGTGATGGGATCTTTGTTCACAGCAAACCTTAGGTTCCATTAACAAAAGCATTTGCACAGCTGCCACTCCAGAACTGCTCATCAAGACGGGCGGTCCTTTAAGGTACAGAGATCGTACCAAGCAAGAGTTTTCTAGACAGATATTGTAAATGAAGCTAAAGATTAAAGAAAGCAGACAATGAATGAATGATAAGGGAGAGAAAGGTCAAGAAAAGGTCAGAAAGAAAGGAATCCACATCCGTCAGCAAATCATGCAGCCTTCTTTGCAATCTGTCATGCTTTAAAGTGGCAGCTCGCATATGTTGTCGTAATTAGAAACTTGAATAGTGCGCAAGATGAGGAACGATTTTAAGTGAACATAGGTAACAGCGAAATTGGTTTAAAGTAGAGGTCGACTAATGGGAGAGAAAACGTAAAGAAACTGCTTGCTTATCCAACACTTTCAATGTTTCATGAAAATAACAAATGAGTAAAAGAAACCCGAACTAACGCAAGGATTCACATTCAATTTGAAATTCAATAATTCTATAAATTTCGAAATTTCAATTTCAAAGTGAACTTTCAACATAGTTTTTCTCTTCGTTAATTATAATGGTACAATTCAAAAACGTGAAATTCCAATAACTCCTTTAATTTCAAATTTTAAATTTCATGATAATTTTGATTGATCATACAATTTTCGTGAAGATAATTGCATTCACAGTCAAAGCTTCAAAAAAAAAAGTGGAAAAATGGAAAAATTATCGAAATGTGGATGGAATGTGAATTCTTCAGCATCATGTAAGAGTAATGGCATTATAAAGTACTGTAGCAAGGTGAAACTAAGAAGTGATGCCTAAGTATATCACTAACAATCAATCATTTGACTCTAATAATTGTAGAGGAGCGATATACAGTTATCGTTAGCGAATAGTAGCTCTGTGATATGCTTCAACGCCATCATAATCCATTCATTTTTTATCCAGTCACCGTTGTTTGTTTCGGAAGAAAAAGAATACGAAGAATTTCTGCTTAATCTGAATGATTTTAAGAAGTGGTAATAAAACGGAAGAAAATACAGTAAAGCAAGAAACTTGTTCATATAATACGATTTAATATAACAAACAAAAAAAGTGAATAAATCGATTAAATCCTGACAATGGAATGAAAGTTACCGCACTACATAAATTTAAATCAAACAAGAATTTAAAAATTTCAGGTATTTAATTTATTGAAATTTTGTCGTAAATTTTATATAGGGTTTATTTATCGAAATAACACCAATCAGTATTATAAATTGCAGAAAAGACTTTCTCTGAATGCCGACTAGTTATTAGATTTTTTGTGTCTACTACATTCAGAATATTGGTACTGCTATTGAATATTCACTTGAAGACGTAATTGGAAACTGAGACTGAATTCAGCAATCACATAAATCTTTTCAATTCAAAATTGAGTTAACTTCAAATTAAAACAGAGATTAGAAATTAACACTATTCAAGGCCAAAAAAATTCATTAAAGTCTTCCATGGTAGGAGAAAACAGTAGAGGTCATTCACTACGAAGGACCAAAGAGGAGCACGGGTGCTTAAAAGGGATATGATCGGACATTACATCATTTGGCGTTAAAGACAAGTATATCAAGTAGTAATAAGTGGGTCGACGGAATTGTACATAAATGATCTAAATCATTAGATGAATCTGTCAAATGGGAAGCGCAGGCTGAAATAGGGCAAAAACAAATCATACAAATGACAGCAGAACAGCTTAGTATAAAATAATAAGACTTTCGGGATATTCTATTTTGGATTAAAAGACAAAACTTCACTTAGAGTACTTTATCTTTGTTCCTGTTATCTAGTCCACATAAATTATGTGTGGTCAGAATACAGCATGGTTCAACATCATTAAAAAATTTAAGATTTCGAATATAAGTTAAGTTCATTTCCTTTTATATTACAGTTTCTATTTTCATTCCAAGTTTGATTTATGGAAATATAAAAAGAAAAAAAAAAAATAATTCGACGTTTTTTTTTTTTTTTTTGATGAGGTAAAAATATCTCTGCAGATGCTCTTATTATTCGATGTTAAAAATTTTACACAATGGAATCTATTCGTTTAGCACTAATGAAGGGATATTCACTCTACAGGACGTTTATAGATTGTTAATAGAAATCAAAAAAAGAAAACACAACTCAGAAAAAACTGGAAATCATGATAAAAGTTTTGAAATAATTCAAATACTACTAGAAACTTTTTCATATTAATATTCCTCAGAGAAGGTCTACTGTGTTGGCCTTGAAACTTCATTGAGTGTTCGCAGTAATCTTTAATCTAAAATGAAATATGCGGAAGAAAATTAGTCGTATACGGGCGGGAATCTTCATATGTGCACGTATATGTTAATTTCTTACAAAATAAATACGCGCACTAAATATTTAATAAATTGTTTCAGGGTAAGTAAGTGTTAAAATTTCTGGAAATTTTAAGAGAACGAAACAAATTGCTAAAATTCAATGTTAGCCCATTTATTCCCGTTCTCCATTTTTACGCTCCTCATTACAAGATATCAGTGTTACAGAGTTACGATACCCTCAGAACACAGCTAGCATTCGAGCATTGATTGACAAGACAACAATTTCATGATTATATGTTGATGCCAGTGACAGAAATAGAAACACATATAAGAAATCTCTAAAATATATCCTCAGGTGACACTTACCTACCGATCCTTCAATCTTTAAACATCACATGTTTTTTGAATTTTGGAATTTTCTCGCGATCTTTGGAAATACTTGGCATGCGTACTATTCAGTAGTAGTCGCAATGAATGATCTTGTAATACTGGCTTGAAGTTATGTAACTTTTAAATTCGATCCTATAAGATTATATTGAGCAGGGAAGGCAAACCTGGTAGTACTCTCGCTTGTCAAGAAGAAATCACTGGTTGATCGCGTCGGCAAATTTGATCGGTCTTCTTTCTGTGCAAAAACTGATCTTTTTGGTGAAAATTTGGCATTATGTATCTGAAACTGTAAAGTTTTTCTTCCTTATCAAAAAATTAGTTTGTAAAAAGTTTTCAAACGATTTTGAAATTTCAACAGAAGTTGTGAAGTGAAATACCAAAAAGTAATAGAATATGATTGAAAAATAAGAAATTTTGAAAGCAATCAGAAGTGCATGGTTTAGATGAGAATATTAAATGTAAACCTTTTTATATATCCCCAGAAGATAGTAACAAAAAGGTGTTAAGCACTGAATAATTTTAAATAAAAATCCAATTGATCAGCAGCAGCTTTTAAGATGAAAAGAGTTTTGCAAAAAAAATGTATCAATATGCATATTTCAAGTAGAAACGAATAAAGAATAGAGTTTACTTAGTGGAAATTTAGTCAGTTTAGAATTTGTAGAATTGTTTTAGTAGGATTTGATTTAGAAAGAAAGGTCTTTTCAACATTAGATTCTTTTAACTAATTTTGTCGCGCAGGGAGTGAAATGGAATGTTAAAAAAATTTTTTCTAAGAAAAAATTTAATATATATACTGACAGCAGTAATACTGCTATCAATATGTAAGTAAATACTGAATTTTTTGTTGTTTTAGAAGCAAAAATATTGAAAGAAAAATTTCGATTTTAGGAGAATTGTTATAGAAAGGGAAAAAAATTTTTTAAGAACTTATTTTAAAAAAGATTCAAAAAAGATTTTCTCTGAAAAAATCTTTACAATTGCAAACTTACTTATGTAAATTTGATTATTTTTTTACAGCGTTCTATTTAGAATTCTGAAATATATCTCTCAATAATTCCGTCATGTCATGTACCTGATCAGTGGAATCACATTTGAGTGCTGCCCAATCAAGTACCACTTCGACATCCGACAAATGCCCATTTTGCTCTTGATTCGTTGTTGGCATTTTCCTGCAAAAGAATAAGGAATATCAGTTCAGAACTAATAGATGGCTATTTAATCTAGGACTTTAAGTCTCAGGGAGTAAAGAAATATTATATGAATAAAATGAATATGTGATAGATAAATTGCACTCGCTCCATATTTATCCCCTCAAAGCAATTCTCATATTTCAATTCTTATTTCTAGAAATCGTAGATTTCCATAATCATGGAAATAAATAATAAGCAATGATAAACAAATTTACCAAATTAATAAACAACCCTATGGGACTGCAAAAAGGTTTTTTTTTTTTTTTTTTTTTGTTTTAAAAATATATTTCGATCCCAAAAAGTGAAAACACCAATCTGTATGGGATTTTCAACTTCATTTCATATTAATGCTTTATTCTAAAATGTTTTATAATCAATCAAAATTATTTGAAGAATTTGAAGTTTCAAAATTGAAACACCGAATATTGTTGTAATGTTGAAAAACGATATTACTCAATAAATGAAAGGCAACGACACATTCGAGCAGCGAAATCCTATCTTAGTTGACCATTTTAAGGGAAAGAGAAGGTTGACGCTCTCTCTATCCTCGCTTAACTACTACTGTGACCTAATATCCTATATCTCTTCCTTTGATCGGAATCATATATTAGTTTCAACGGTTTCGCAATTAATTATATAATATGATAGATGAAACCAGACAAAGCGTGTCATAAGTAATCCTTCTCGTCCAGCTACGTCTTAACACAACTCTTAATTGGTTCATTTAAAACAAATACTTTTTATGCACTGTTAAATCCTCCTCATCGCTGCCCTTGATGAGAGAAGAGCATCAATATGATAAGAAATTGTCTTTTATTACTTATCAGTATCTAACTGGTTCCAAATTTGTTTGATTTTAGTTGTCAAGAATTAATGAAATTTTAAATAGGACCTGTTAGCAGGTGGTGGTTCACTAGAATCTTTGTGCCGCCGACCGTTTTGTAATTTATTTTTCCATTTCTGCAATCTATCACTGCTACCTTGAGTGAATTCAAGAAATCCACGACTAAGCCTACTGCTAAGAGATTCTCGGAATTCGTTAATGTTATTTTGTCTTCGATTCATTCCATCTTTATGTTCTGTTGAATGCAAGCTGTTAACTGAGGAACAATCACCACGATAACCACCAGATCCACGTGAATTTAGCGTTGATTGCGACGAGTCAGGATGCGGAATGTCGATGGTAATTTCCGGTGTTACAGTATCTGAACATTTTGGTACAGAAGCTGTTTCAGCACTATCTACTGGTATCGGATCAGACGGAACAGTTTTGGGGTAATTTTGCTGAAGCAGTAAAGAAATACTGTCATTGTTACTGTTGACAGAGTCTCGAGTATGTTCATTTGAAGATGGTGAAGTTGCCCTTGTTTCGAAGTTTGCCAATGGTGGCTTTTGATCTATTCTGCTATGAGATGTTGAGATTTCTTTAGAATTATTCAAATTCTGCCGTTGTGCTGTAATTGTGGTTGCTGCTTGAAATGTCGCTGCTGCTCTACTTCCCTACAATTTGATAAAAATTGGTTAAAAAAGCTGGAAAAAATAACATGTAAGCAAAAATATCTGGAAATTATTGAAAATAAATAAGTAAACTTAATTCTTTCTTCAACATTTTTCATTGTTTTTTTATGTGATGAAAAGATATATTTATCTGTTTATTTATTTTTTATAAAAATATAACAGTGATAAAAAAGTGAGTTTGGTAAATTACAATTTTTGCATCATTTCATATTTAAATGTTATGCATTTGAAGATTTTGTATCGCAAAATAATAAACTGCATAAAAATTTGTTTCGTTAATTTTTAAAGATATTTTAACAAATATATCTGCAAAAAAATTCAATTGTAAATTTTTACAAAAGTCTTTAAAAAATTTAAAAGAAAAGGATTTAAGCAAAAAAAAGTTAAGCTTCTGTTGAATTGTAAACATAAAGTTATTCTGTTTTTCATTATTTCTTTATTTTCATCTGGTGTTTTCATTAATCATCTGTTACGTTCTAATAAAATTGGATTTGATTTGGAAACTGGAATATTTTTTGTTTTCTGTCACGAACTTTAAACAAGTAACACAAGAGGTAAAATAAAAAGCTCAGGCTTAATAAATAACACAATAGAGTAAAATTGCTTCAAAAATCATTTTCTTCATTTAATTATTTACAATTTACCATTTTGACTTATGTTTGTTTCTTAAATGTTGCTTTTTGGGAATAAAAATTTGGAACTCTTAAAAGGATTGAAATGTAAACTGGGAGATGAATGAAGCAAAACATGCATAACAATACGTTAATCTGTATGAAAAGGATATTTTTATTACTGCTAAAGCTATTAGGTACACTGTCACTCAAAGGTAATCAAATATTACTCAAAATATCATTATGACTAATACTACTGAAATCATAATAGTACCATGAATGAATAATGTCTGCAGTTGAAGATTGCTCGTTATTCTTCACTGCCTAACGATACATGATACCTAATATCATAAATGTAATATGCGCTTCTGTTAAATAGCGATGACACCTGCCACCTGATTTCTGCTACTTTTGTTTTGCCATTTCATATGACACCATTCTACCATTATCCAATAGTTACAACTACTAACACTATTCTAGTAGTAGTGAATGTATCCATCATTATTTTGAGAGGGAATTCGTAATATGAAGGCTAGGAAAATAACGCAAACCTTGCTGATGAACAGTTTTTTGGGTCTGCCCAAAGAAAGTGTCGCGGAGACCGAACAGTGTTGTGGGTCGCTAATAATAAAAGTTCTGTTCTTGTTGGGCGATTCCTGTTGCTGTTGAACTGTGCTAGAAAAATCAGCCAGTAATAAATATGGAAGAAAGCTTAACATCTAAAGGCTAATGAAATTCAATTTCACTTTCACAGTAAAAAAAATTTATTTGAAGAAAAAAAAAGATTTTCTAATTTTGATCATCTCCATTAAACATTTTTGAAAATTTCCAGGTACTGAAAGTAATTTAGAAAAAGAGAAAGAGTTTTGAAAGTTTTAATGATAAAAGCAAATCTAAAATTATGCATCTTCGAAAATGTATTGCATTTCAGAGACAACACTAAATATTCTTTATAACGCTTTTTTAAGAAACCTTTGACAAATTCAAAAGCTGCTCCAAAAATGTTAAAAAATACTATTTGAACTAAATGTTTACAGTACCCACTCACATGTATACAGTCATCTTCATAATTTCATAACGCATTCTCCGATTTATTTACTAAAATATTAAATAAATATGAGTAGTTAAGAACTGATAATTTCTAGCAGTGGAAATATAATTAGGGCTAACCAAATGTTTAAAAGTATAAAGATGAGGAAAATGATCAAGATTCATTTTAAGACTAAAGAAATAAGGTCAATGGGGGGAGAAAATGTTGAATTTGTTGAAAGCAACCAGTAAAAAAAAGGAAAAAAATTAACAAGAGAATAAATTTATAAAATTAAACAGATGAATTTTTATACAATCTGTACAAATTCTACTGATTTAATAAAGATACTATAATCTGAGATTTCTCAGTCCAGTAAACTCTTTTATCATCATGAAACGAAGCTAACAATGGAACTACATAGGTACTTCACTGGTTAAGTGGTGAAATAAGTTTATTAGAAAATTTTACAATCCTATCTTCATTCTGCTCTCCTCTTTATGTTCAGAGAATAGATTAGAGATAAAGATCAAAAAGACTTTTGCCACCTGCTGAAACAAAGATAATGGATCGAATAGTAGGATATGGGAGCAGTGTATTGAAAGAATTTCTGCATAATTATTTAACACATTCTATATTGATATGGTGTAGGAAGATGAATTATGGTACCCGATTACCTTAAATTGGACTGGATGTGAGTAATTGTCACACATAATTGCATGGCAGTATACTGAATTATGTTTATCCCGGATAATATTAAACTTCATTCAATGAAAAAGTTATTACAAGAAATATGTGTCTTCAGAGTCAAGCTCAATGCAATCGATTTAATTTAATTTAATTATTAGTCTACTCTATCAATGATTGATTGCATTATGTAATAAATATAAGTATATGCTTAATGTTCGATCGTTCACAAAGTTCACATTTCATTAAGCAGAAGATAGACTTTTAAAAAATACCCTAAAATGAAGATATAGTAACCACAGACTATACTGTGACAATGATGCCTAGGATCAAAAGTAGGTTCCCAATTAAATTTCTGTATTACATTGTTTGTATTAGCAATACAAACTCTTGTTATCTCATTAGAAAGAAGAACTTATCCAATTAGATTCACCTATTGATAACGCATCAATTTTGCAGATGTTTTGAGCCTTATCAGGAAACTGTAAAAAATGGAACGATATAGCTAGAAAAAAATGATGATAGTAGTGCGAACTGTCGTTATGATCTTATGAGTTAGAATTTAAATGGTATATATATGTAAGCTCTAATTAACTGGTAGTTCTCAATGGTTTATTTGATGAATGGACATTACAATTTTGCAAAAATCCAACGAACCATCCATATTCTTCGTCACTTTTTAAATCCTTATCCAGACGATGTTGAATCGGCAGACACAGTGTATTGCGTAGTTTATGATTATTTGTTTTGCAAAGCCGTGACATCAAGTTATAACCTTTGTTACGTGGGGTTTGCAACGTTTCAATAATTTTGAAGTGAAATGAAGCTGAAAACCATTTTCAAAACTTCAGCTAAACAAATTTTATTAATCAACGGAAGTTCAGTAAATACTGAGTTTATACAGTCTTAAAATTGAAAACTATCCCTTATGTCATATATCACGTAAAATAAATCTAAGAACAAAATTTGTTTCCTGATAGTGAAATTAAAAAAAAAAATACTATAAAAGAGAAAAAAACATGATTGACAGTGCACTGCCATTTTTTAAAGAATGAGTGTATTTAGTGTAAACCGTTCAACATTTCATGAAAATTTATTCTTCGGCGAGCATAGAAAGAGATACGAAGAATTTAAATGAAGAATAAAGAAGTTTATGTCAAACTCATGAGCTAATTCCCAACAAATGAAGCATTCGGTTAATTTCTGGAAAGGATTCGTAAATTTTTCTACAAAAAAAAAAGAACAACCGATCTTTTCATCCATAAGTACTGTTTGCTAGGCAAAAAAAAAAAATCATATATACTGAGTGAGTGCACATGAAATCAGCTTTTTTTTTTTTTTTTTTTTTTTGGAAAAACAGGTTTTTCACTTGTTTTATACTTTTTTATAGTAATTTATTCCATTTTTTGAAAACTATTAAAAAAACAGCACTGATTTGTTAAATCACTTCATCCTCACAAATCCTTCATACCTTACGTCTTTTAGGCCAATTTTTCTAACTTTTCTCACAAGAAAGAGAAAGGCCCCATTTTTATAGACGCCTAAATGATTCTTGCAAGTGCATAATGAAAAATTAGAAATATATGCAATTTTTCGAGAAAAAAGACTGCAAACTCACTTGAACTACAACAAAATACAGTCATAAAGTGTGCAGAGTTTTTCGAGACCTTTGATAGCAAAGAATTGTTAAATAAACATATTGCTGCGTCAAAAGTAAATATTCAGTAAGGACAGAAGAGGAGGAGAGTTTTTGACGACCACTTTTGCCGGAACGAGTTTAAATAAAAGATAATGGGAAAGAAGGAAATGAAGAGGAAAGCAAGAGGAGAAGATGGAGCAGCATTAAAAGATGCAATTTCAAAGTGTACTGAAAGTTAATTCAGATGAGATGCCACCACTCACTACCACCATACCACTTTTTGAATCTCATTTCTTTTCCATTTCATTTGAATTTAAGTGCTCAGTACAAAGTAATTGATGCCTATGAACGGAGAAAATTGGTTAAGAGAGTAGCTACATTTGTTGTACGAATTACTTTTAATTGAGTTAATTACGAAATACTTTGAAGTTTCTCAAACAAATGAAATTTTACAAGATCAGCCCACTGAATTTCATATAGAAATTATCAAATGCAATGCGCTGATATGAATTTGTTACAGTTAAAAATACAGATTTTATACAATTCTAAAATTAATTCGCTGGATGAACAAAATTTTCAACTTTGATATCTAGATAACCCCAAATAACAAGTTAGGATAAATTCAAATTGCTGAAAAGAATTGATCGAGAAAAATCCAAGAAATTCTATTACATTAATTACCACAACTCTAAATGACAGTTGGATTATTCTGATTCAACCGTCGGAATTGTCAATGACATTCGATAAACTGAGAAATTTTCAATCGATTTGAAGATATGAAAATCTGATAACATTTGAAGTTGTAAGATAAGTATCCGCATTATGAACAACTGCTATCCAAAGTGAAGTAGTGATGCTGATATTTTTATGCAATAGGTCTCGTTGAAATCTTATATCAGCCCCTAAAGAACAATCGAATTATCATCATCAGTGGTTGATTCTTAAGAAATATGTCTTATCATCTCTTCGAAAGCGGTATTAAGGAATATCACATATATCTCATCCGGAATATCTCATGATCAACTCTAGTTGGCAGGTTTTGAGGAGATATGTTAATAGATGGAATATGATAAAGGATTCAATTTAGATAAGAATTAAAATGCCAGAATTGAAAAGGAAAGGTTTTCTTAACAGATGGGATGATAAGTTGATCAAATGCAGATTTTTATGAGAAAAAAAGTGAAAACCTGTCAGCAGCATTAAAAACAGCATCAGCAAAGCATTCATGGCATCGTTTCTTTTTTAATATCACTTGGGTCTGAGCTGGTTTATTAGCTATCGTTTTCCGCAGAGTTGTAGAGCTGAAAAAAAAAAAAGTAGAACTTAATCAAAAAGTTCACTTTTGTATCAAATTTCCATTAGCAAAAGTTTCACAAAAAATTATGATAAAGTAAATGGTTCTCTTTATATTTTTTGATTCCTCCTCATAAATTTTTGATTAGTATAATACTCAAAAGAAAACCGAAATTAAGAGAATGAACGAGACGAGATTATTTTTTTTTTACAAAGTTTCAGCAAATAGCTGGATATTAGCTTAAAGTCAGCATACTTTGAATGATTAACGTTGGTTATATGAATGAAAGAAGGAAAAAAGAAATTCAATGCAGTAAGTATCGAAGACAATATTTTTGAATGAATGAACAACAGAAGACAGACACATAAAGATTATGACAGTTTTGTCATTATGATCAAAAAGTATTGAAAAGGAAAAAAAATAAAAAGGCCTTATTAAACACATTTTTTTCTGCTTTTAAACACATATCAAACCAAACTGGTCTAAAATATCCAATTCAGATGCAAATAGGAGTCTTTCTTTCTCAGTAAAGTTAGCGTTTCAATTACTACCAAAAATTTGGAGAGCAGAATAATCGGTTCTTTTTAATAAGAATCATATTATCAAGTGACGAGTGAGCACTGAAAATAAGTTCCTAAATGGTCTGGGGGTGTCTGCCTTTATTGGTTGAAATCTTAGAGTGAGGAGATTTAATGAGAAGAGTGGGAAATAAAAAAAGATGAAATGAGCCTTCTTGTTTCATTTCTAGAAAGAAAACCGTTGAAGAAGGCACCTTCAAATAGCAGATGAGTTGACGGTGTTTGTCTTCATTGACTGAAGTCTCGGAGTATCGGAAATATTCTAACAGAGTTTAATTTTTAACAGGAAAAGTCAGTTGAAACAGCTATAAAAGATAGAAGGTCAAAATAGTAGTATAAATGACTGAATAAGATTAAAGAACAAAGAAAACATATACTGATGAATATTGTATATTGATAGATAATACAAAAAAGTTGAACCGAAGTTATGTATGATAAATATTAGTAAAAATAGCAGGGACGAAGCAATAGGAGGATACATCGTGGAAGAGTTTTACTGAAAGGTCAAGTGCGCTAAATGACCAATAAATTTTACATTTCACATCTTTCAATTGATGCCAAGTTTAGAACTACTAGCATTTATCGCTTTTTATTGGGCCAGTACATAATTAACATTCCAGAATTCCTCAAAGTCATCTTTACAAAAAGCATTTCTGAAGTATTAGAAAAGTCCTTTAATATTCCAGAAACACTTCTCACTTTTTAGTACCTTATATCATACTTGATCATTTCCTACTGATATTTAGTATTGAAGATTGCCATCAAATTGATAGCTATTTCAAATTATCACTACATTAAGCTTACAAAGAGGGTAAAAAGGTTCAATTAACTATAATTGTGCTTTATGCATGTCACATTTGTTAATAACATTTGAAGTATTAACATTTTCACTTATCAGTTAATTTTTTAAGAATTTCAGAAATTCCAGTTATGAAAACTTTAATTTTAATAATTTTGAACTCCATAATAAACGAATCAGTAAAGAACTTGAAGGAAATAATTTTTTGAAATTAAAAAAAACCGACGGTTCATAGTTTCATTTGTGAAAATGGTGGACAAAATGTGTACTCTTTGGTTCAGCAAATATTACTGAAATGGATATGGAATCTGCAAAACGTAACTATAACAAATAGTAAGTACGATTTACCATAGAAATTTGAGGTGATTCTGAACATAATAAGCATTTCAATCTTATGATCATATATAAACGTACAAATACATTTCTCTCATTTCTTAAATCTAGCAAATATTTGAAATACTTGTTATTTTATTTAGCATAGATCCCAATGCAGTTAGTTTTCAGATTTTATTGTTTTCAACGTAACAGTGACGAAAAAGATAGGGAAAGCAAAAATATCATACTGAAGAAATAATTACCTACACTCAAGAAATAATGACTAACCTCAGCAAATTGCTGAATGATGGAAAGTTTGAACTTTTTAAAGATATTTTAAATTCAAATAAAATAGCCAACTTTTTCTTCTTCTAAACCTTCTACTTTAAAGAAATTATATCAATTTCAAAATTGCTGTTTGCACTTTGCATTTTGAGTCTCATTATTATATAAAAAAAGCGACTCAAAAAAAAATGTTTCTTTGAGCAGGGAAGTCAGGTGACGCAGCGAGTACGTTCATTTGGTTTTAAAAATATTACAATGAAAAAGTAAGAAAAGAAGTTTCGAGACAGTGAACAAATGTAAATGTTTTGATGAACAATATTTCCCTATAAAAATCGCATCCTGATCGGGAAGTGTGCTCACGTTAACAGGCATTAAAAATATTTAAATATCTTTAAAAAAAGATTATAGGGATGAGATTACTAAGAAATAATTACCTTAATTTGCATGTACATTGAGCTGATCATCCTGCACATATCATATCAGAATATATCAGCCCGAGAATATAAACTATCGAGACAATTTCAATTGCTATATAAAAGAAAATAAATTAAATCACTTTGCTAATCAATCTACTATTTTTTTAAAGCTACGTGTAATGAATGAGTCATCGAGAAAAAATAAAGGAAGTGACTTGACAAACAGTTGAAAGATTGAAAGAGTAACAGTAACTTGTTTGCAATAAAGTAAGCCAGGATCGATCGAAATCCACTTATACAAATAAATTGTATTAATGAAAGAAAGTAAGAATTCAGCTCACAAAAACAAATCATATTAGAAAGTCACAAATGTTGCAAAAAACTTTAAACCATTGAATTCAAGATCAATTAAATTTATAAAGGTTTAGATAAGAAACTCAAACAAACATTTTCGATTCTTCATCTATTTGTGAGCCACAATTCTCAAGACAAATTTGTGCTCTGTCACATTCTTGCTGATCATATTTTTCGTGTATTTGCTGCGATAAGTTATCAGCTTCTATCATTGTTTCATTAAGCATTTCCGATTCGGCACAAACTGATTCACAGCTCAAATGCTGCAGTTCTGTGGTGTCACAATTCAAGAAGTAACTATCAGTGTTAGCGGTAGCAGACTTGAGATAAGTTTTATCATCTGGCTTACAATATTCAGATTGAAGCCGAACACCTGCATCTAAATTTTGTTCTATGAAAGTGATGCAATTATCTAATTCATGACTTATTGAATTCCTGTTAATTGTTATAGAACTAATATTTTCCCTTTTTGATGAGGATTTTTCTTCTTCACTAAATTCAGTAAAAGCAAATGATTTTACTTTTGGAAGCCCTTTTTCTCCTCTTCGTGTTGCACGTTTTGTAAATTTCACAACCTGATGAAAGCCTTCTTCCGATGGTTGATGAATCAACCGCATTTCCATCTCTTCTCTCTCCTTCAGGTAATTCTTTTGATGGCCCTTACCTTTTTTGGAATATATTTCAGGACTTATATTTTTTAATTCACCAGAACTTGAGCTGTGAACATATACATCTGGTGAAGAACTGTCGTGCATAGTCATATCCGTTGCATTAAATGCGGCGCCATTTTTTATCGTTTTCTTGAGTTCATCATTGCATGTTGTAGAATATTGCTGATTCATTAAAATACCCGTGCAATAATTATTCAGGTGAGGTACAGTTAGACAGTAATGGTAGTCACAGCGATATTGCAGATGAAAACAATAGCGGTAGAGATAGAGGTGATGGTGTGACGACGGTAGTGGCGGTAGTGGTTGTGGTAGTAGTGGTGGTGGCGGAAGTTGTAGCAGTAATGACGTGATGATGGATCAGTACGATTAGTTACAGACGTTTGCGCTAAGAAATTTGGATGATGTGTTGCTGACTTTCCTCTAAAAGCTTGCTCCTCCTCAGCTTCTGTTTCCACTCTACAAACCGTCCCTTCTACTTTCCTGATTTCTTGCCCTCTTTCTCGCCATCACTTATTTTTCTTCCGGCAATAGAGCATTCTCTAATGCTCTCATTTCCTTGTCCTCATCTCTGTTCCTCCTGCTGATGAATAATTTCGATTATATATATATGAAAGATACCTCGATCGAAGAATGGTAGATTTGCACATATTTTCACATTAGTTTTATTTTGCTCCCAACCATTCTTATCTTCCTAACTTCTTCCTAGCCTTCTGTTTGGTTCTAAATCATTAGCGATAGGCGTCAAAAGTTGCTTCCATTTTAAAATTTGTTGTACGACTGCTAATCTTTTTGGCCAAACACTCTACTGATCATCATTTAAACTTGAATGCTTTTTATAAGTTGCCTTTTTTGTCACCGACTTCGTATCATGTTAGGTTATCTTGTTAGAATTTTTCTCTGATTTTTCCGGAAAATCCAGTGCAGTAACACATGTGGTAATATCCGAATTAGTCTAGTCCTGGATAGGATGACTCCTTTGAATGAAACCCTAAAACACGGAATTGCGTGCACATTAAGAGTGCCACTCAGAAGATTAAATAAAGAGGAATTGAAATACCAATGCTTTTCAATGATCAGAAATATTGCTGAATTTATTAATGCTCTATCGATAAATTTTCGATCCTATTGTGATACCAGAAGTAACACTTATCTTCAGCATTTTTTAAAAGTTTAAAAAATTTTTTGGAATTCCTGCAAGCTTCCAGTTTACACAAAGTATTATTTTTCTCGCTTTTTTCTTTGGTAAAAAGTATGCAAGAAAATGCAAAAAAAACGAACATCTTTAACAACCTTCTGCAATTTAAAGTATCAAAATGTATTTTTCTAAAACTATCACATTGTAATGTGTAAGAAATCAGTGAAAATGAGAAAAAATCAATTCTGTCCTTTAGTGAGCAAATCACATTTTAAAAAAAAATAATAAAAATCAAAGATGGATGATGGCCATTTAAAAAGAGTTTATAAATTTGTAATAAAATAATTTGAATGTGACTAGGAACAATGAACTAAATTAGACTGAATGCCGATTAAGTAGTACAGCAAAGATGATAATTACTGATTCGCTATCAAACAAAGTTAACCTTATATAAAGTAGAAAACGACTGAGAAACTGTAGACGGAATTGTTCACGTCCATCATGGATGAGAGCAATTATTACAATTTATAACTGTTATTATTATTATTATCATTGTTAATTGTCATTATTATTATTATTAGTATTATTTATTATTGTTATAAGCATCACTATTATTAATTATTATCGTGACTATACACTGCACTCATTTTTCAAATACACGATATATATATAATTTATTTGCAGTGGGAAAAAGGATTTAGATTTATCGACTGATTTCGTTGCTCACAAAATATAATGTAACTTGTAGAATTTCTATAATGAATCTGGAAAATTAAAAAAAGAGAATTATGAGAAAAGAATGCGAGAAATTGATATTCAATACAAAACATCAGCGCAGATTACTTCTAGTGTTGTAATTAGTGCTTCACTCATTATAATTACTGCGCAGCTTAGTTAACGGTAACAAATTTGGGCAGCAAATAAAATTTTTCTAGAAATTTAAGAGTGTTTATTGTTTACTGTAAGTATAATACAATGTACTCTTTAATTATGACTGCCAATCTTCTCTCGTTATTACAAATCCCATCCAATAATTTTCTAAATTGTTATAATTTCTGTTGCTAAAGATCTAACGAGGAACACTATGAAATATATGCGAAATAGACTCATTAAATCCATTTCTTTTTAAATCTAGTTAATGGTTTGTATGTTCAAATAATAAAAATAATGAAAATGCATTAAAAATTCTGTGGAATTGGCCTTTTCATGATTGGCTTAATGATGGCTACAAAGAGGACTGATATCTATCTGTTGATAGTTCATTTGCTCGTCCATTCGTTTTCATGAAAGTTTGCAATTAATGTCAGTTCATTTTTTCTAAATAATTTGTATAGTATAAAATATAAATCGAAACTCCAGTGTTAGTGTAACCATTTTAACATTTCCATGAAAAGAAATCGAAAGATAACAGATGGCTAAAAAAACAATGGTAATTATTTAAATGAGTTTCCATACCTGGCTTTTATTTTGACTATTATGGATATAAAAAAGATAAGAATATTGGAAAAAAAAAATCTATCCAGAAATTAATAGTTCAAATATTTCATTTTGACAAGAAGTAAACATTTGGTTACTTCGAAGTTTTCAAATTCAAAAGATTAAGGCCCAAAAAACTTACTCAACATGGAATATTCCAAGTTCAAGAAGTGGTGTTTTCATATTTGCGATAGGGAAAGTAGAATTCTCATCAACGAGCTGTTGCTGTAGTTCCATGTTTATTTTATCTTAAGATTAAAAAGAATAAGAAAACAACGGATTGCATTAGTGGTACTACGACGAGAATCGCTATAAGTAAAGAAGTAGGAATGGTCAAAACTGCGATAAAGGAGAAAATATTAAATGAAAAAAATTCGTGTGTTTGAAGGAATTTCGGAAGCATGAAGACTCCTAAAAATATAACAGCAATTGCATCAGTTGAAATCATTATACAATTTCTAATGCATTATTCCTTTCAAAAATGAATAATTTATCTTACAAATAAATGAATCATTTACAAAAAAATATCTTGAAAATTAAGCTTCTAATTTTTAGGGGAAGTTCATGGTTGAGTAGTGTAATGAGAGGAGTGGGGAATGAAGAATACTTGAAATTAATCGGAATGGATTAATTAAGAAATAAATCATAAAAAAGAGAATTACTTTGTAGTTGAATACATCAAAAGTTTCTCTTAAAAAATTAAAAGAATTAATGTAATTTATGCTCAAAGTGAAACGTATCAAAATAATATGCTATAATTGATACTATGAAGTGAAACTAGAAGAAATGTGAGAATGAAGAAGAAATCGAATTTCATTGGAAATAAAAGAAAGTTGGCGATTAAGTTTTTAAAAAACGCGGTATCGATCAGAGATCTACTTAAAGACTCGACGAGTGTAACAGTTGCATAGTTCGGTGTGTGTTGAAAAGATATTTATTTCACCGATATCTTCTTAGTTTCTTCAACATTTTTGATTTCTGTGTATGTGTGTATGTATGTATGCAGGAAGCACACATGAATTGATACAGAATTTGCATTTTTTTCATGTACAAAACATGAAAGTTAGTTATCAAAGTGCTCATCCATAGGCCTCCTTTCGTCACTCCTAGCTCCACACAATGAGAAATAATATTCTTGGACAGAACGAATTCATTTCCTTTACTGATATCCGACTAATATTCTTCCGCAAAGGCAAACAAATCGGAAATGGATGCTATCATGCTATCACGAGCAGTATCTGTGAGTGTTAACTATGCCATGTTGTGTGCTTCTTGCTTGGCTTATGCTAGGCTTCATGTAATACAAAGTTATAATTATAATTAATTTCATCAGAAGAGCCCATAACAATTAATTATTAATGGAAGCCAACAGAAACGATAAGTAATTCATTAAAAAAAACAGAATCAAAAATGATAACAGAATATTAAGAAAATCAGAAACTAAAAGTCATTAAAAGAAACTAAAAGTTTTATTACATCACTAGCTCAAATAATCTTTTCTTACACCATGATGTGGCAATTAATTGAAACATGTTTGTAACGATCATAATGGATCATGTATTATTTATTAAAATGTGATGAGAGTGACAATTTCCAGCTAAATACAAAGTCATAATGAGAAAGTGGTCATTTCAATGCTAGCTCGTCACTTCACTATATTTCAACCATATGGATTCCAGTGCAGTTAGCAATTAATTTAAAGTTGGAAATGAACTGTTTTGGTTAGTAAATGTAAAAATATTCAGCAAATGACATCATCAGAAAATACTGAAACGCTAATGCATAACGATATTTTTAATGGAATCAAATTATTTTACATGGCTGCAGAAAAGTTGAGTACACTTTGTGAATGGAAATCTTCACTTCTTTTCCTGAAGCAGTTGAAATTTTTGAAGAAACAGGACAACTGTTAATATAAACGAAGTAGTTTTGTCTTGAAAAAGGCCAGGACAAAAGTACTTTGTTGATATTGATGCTCTAAGCTGATTGTTGGTTAGTGACTGGTGAGTAGTGATTGGTGATTCAAGCTGATCTCAAATTGATAATGTCAGCTGGTATCTGAAAAGCTAAAAGGTACGGCTGAACAACAGTGGATTAAAAAAAACTTTGGGGGAATTTATTCAGCAATGAGAAGGATGTTTGAAGTTAAAAATTGAACAATTTAAGAAAAGCGGTTCAAATGAGAGAACTGGTCAGTTGAAGCAAATGGTCAAAGTTTAATGTTATCACACATTACCATCCTTCTGAAGGTTAGCTCACGAGGGACAATTGCTCATCAGGGAACTGAGAGAGCGATGATTTTTGTTCTTAGCAATCCGCTTCCCTCGTTCTTCTCAAATTGGTGCTCTCATAATATTTATTCCAATTTATTTCTGCTCACTTTCTTATGGTAACAATCAAGAATATTGCATATCGAACTCAGACAATTTGACCACTTTGAGATTATAAGGATGTCAGTAAGTGTCACTCAGATACTTCTCCTCTTTCCACCTTAAAAAACATTTACGTATAGAGTGTAGCATTACCGAACATTATCGATTGTTTAATCGTCACACCAGTA